GTTCCTAGTTTTTTCTCAAATGGAGAATATTACATAATCTATTTTAGTTTTATAATGCAGAGGAGAATATTGAAAATATTCTGGAATTTGAATCCTCAAAACAATAATATAGAAATTCTTTAATGTAGCCTCCCACAATCTGTGCCTTCCAAGGTAAGGCTATGGTGTTGGTCTAATTCTTAGAGATAATCCATCAGGAAAGTATCAGATTTTTTAAAATAAATTATAATGGACTAACTTCACACAACCTACCACAAAACCAAACTATAATTTGGTTTAATGTAATATATGGACCTATCTATAGATGGCACCGATTTCTTGTCCTCATTGCTTTATAAAACTTAGATAAAACTATTGAGAGTTACTAAACTAGGTGGTCTAAAAGGTGATTCCAAATGCTATTATTCAGATGGCAGGGTAGAGGGAGAAATGGTGTGCCACTATATTTAAAAACTGTATAATTTTTCAAAAAGTTTGCCACAAGACCAGTGGTGAAATGTAAAATTTGTTACTAGTGGTTCTGTGGGCGTGGGTTGGGGGGGTGGTAATATGACTGGGTGGGCGTGGCCAACTTTTTTTTTTTTCTTTTAAAAGCATTTTTTCAGCCAAAGAAAAAATGCTTTTAAAAGTTTTTAAAAAGCCTCTGATGATTGCGCAGCTCAGCTGGGCATGGAGAGGGGCAGGGATTTTTGCTACCGGTTCTCCGAACCACCCATCGCTACCGGATTGGGTGATCCGATCCGAACCGGGAGCATTTCACCCCTGCACAAGATTCCTTGCTAAATTTCTTCTTCATTGTAAAATAGTGGTTTCTCTGTACTAAGAGTATTGTCAGTATTTTGTTTGGAGAACTATAAATTTTTCTATCTGAATGGCTGTACTTTTGTTTAAAAAAAAACTATAAAAAGCTCAAACATGCCTCCTGGTGGACAAGAATAAATAATAAAGTCTTATAGAATACAATTCTTCATTGGTCAAGTGTGATTGGACACACAAGGAATTTGTCTTTGGTGCATATGCTCTGAGTGTTCATAAAAGGAAAAAAAATACATTCATCAAGAATCATAAGATACAACACTTAGTGATAGACATAGGTTATTAATAAGCAATTAAATCATACTAGGAAACAAATATAAGGGACATGGTGGCTCAGTGGCTAAGATGCTGAGCTTGTCAATCGAAAGATTGGCAGTTCAGCGCTTCGAATCCCTAGTGTCATGTAACGGGGTGAGCTCCCGTTATTTGTCCCAGCTTCTGCCAACCTAGCAGTTTGAAAGCATGCAAAAATGCCAGTAGAAAAATAGGGACCACCTTTGGTGGGAAGGTAACAGTGTTCCATGCGCCTTTGCGTTTAGTCATGCCGGTCACATGACCACGGAGACGTCTTCGGGCAGCGCTGGCTCTTCGGCTTTGAAACGGAGATGAGCACCACCCTCTAGAGTCGGGAACAACTAGCACATATGTGCGAGGGGAACCTTTACCTTTAGGAAACAAATAAAACAATATAAATCGTAAAGATACAAGCAACATGATTATAGTCACAAGTGGGAGGATATAGGTAATAGGAAGGATGGGAAGAATAATAGTAATACAGTCTTAGTAATAATTTGACAGTGTTGTGGGAATTAGTTGTTTAGCAGAGTGATGGCATTTGGGGGAAAACTGTTCTTGTGTCTAGTTGTTCTGGTGTGCCGTGCCTTATAGTGTCCTTTTGAGGGTAGAAGTTGAAACAATTTATGTCCAGGTTGTGAGGGGTCTGTAGATATTTTCACAGCCCTCTTTTTGACTCATACAGGTCCTCAATGGAAGGCAGGTTGGTAGCAAGTTTTTTTTCTGCAATTCTAATTACCCATTGAAGTCTGTGTCTGTCTTGTTTGATTGCCGAGCCAAATCGGAAAGTTATAGAGGTGCAGATGACAGACCAATAATTCCTCTGTAGAACTGAATCAGCAGCTGTAGAACTATATCATTCTCCTCTGTAGAATTGAATCAGCAGCTCCTTGGACAGTTTGAGCTTTCTGAGTTGGCGCAGAAAGAACATTCTTTGTTGTGCTTTTTTGATGCCATATTTGATGTTAGGTGTCCATTTTAAGTCTTGAGAAATGATAGAACCTAGAAACTTGAAGGTCTCTACTATTGATACTGTGTTGTCTAGTATTGTAAGAGGTGGGTGGTAGTGTAGGAGGGTTTCTTCTAAAATTTACCACCATTTCTATGATTTTGTGTTTAGTTCAAGATTATTCCGATTGCACCACAAGGCTAGTTGTTCAACCTTCCGTCTGTATGAAGATTCGGCATTGTCTCGAATGAGACCAATCACTGTTGTATCATCTGCAAACTTCAGTATTTTAACAGAGGGATCTTTTGAGATGCAGTCATTGGTGTATAGAGAGAAGAGTAGTGGAGAGAGCACACAGCCCTGGGGGGGGGGGCTCCTGTGCTAATTGTACAGGTATCTGATGTGATTTTGCCTAGCTTCACCTGCTGCTTCCTGTCTGTTAGGAAGCTTATGATCCATTTACAAGTGTAGTCAAGTACAGCTAGCTGATTTAGTTTAGTTAGAAGAATATCTGGAATGATGGTATTGAAAGCTGAGCTGAAGTCTACAAAGAGGACCCTTGCATAGGTCTTTGGAGATTCAACATGTAGTGCCTACAAGTCTATCAAGATAGACTTAGCAATAAGGATCATCAATTATGACGTCAGGGTGGGTGGGAAGAGCCTCCCGCCACTTTTATTACTGGTTCTAAAGAACCAGACAGAACCAGGAGCAACCCACCACTGGCGCGCACGCTATCACACACACACACACACACACACACACAAACACACACACACGCTTTTGGCACCCAAGGAAAAAAAGGTTAGACATCACTGCACTAGTATCTGTTCAGATGTTATCAATTTCAGCTGTGTAGAACTTGATTTGATTCCAAAAGAGCTTTTGACTATGCAGTAGCATATATAGCACCATTCTTTTAACTTCATAAAGTAGCTACATTCTTTCCCTGAGATTACATGGCATTTGCTGAGGGTCAAGAGGCCTGAATAATAACATGAAACGATTGCATAGAAAGGCTCTTATTTATGTAGAACTTCATTTTTTATTATCTCTGACAACCTGTAATATTACAGATAAGGCAAATGTATTATGGAGTGAAATGTCTTCAATTATATTTCTTTGGAGTATAACATAGCCTGAATAACAATTAGAAGAAAAAATAATAAGTTTGCATATAGATACAACAGCTAAAAGAATATGCTAAATAAATGTACATTCCATGCAAAGTATAGCTTTTCTCATCGAAAAAACTTTCATCAATCTCTCAAAGACTGTTAAATATTCTAATGTAGCTTCCTGAGACAACTTCCACAATTCAGATGTAGCCATTGCCTGTATCAAATGGACCTCCACTATTGATGAGCCAGCTTCTCCATGAGATACCAAGATGCTTAGATGGTAGAATTTGGATGAGTAACCACCATAAACCATGGAGGACCCTTCAGACTGTCATTCATGTCCTGGTCAGTTCAGTGCTTGACTATAGAAATGTACTCTACATGTAAGTGCTCTCGAAGATCACCCAGAAGCTTCAACTGGTCCAAAATGCAGAGGCATGAGCAGTGATGGGCATGCCTTCGTACTACCATGTAACACCTTTGTGCTAGTTGTACTAGTTGCCAGTTTGCTTCTGGGTGTATTCAAATTGCTGATTGTTATCTGTACAGTCAATCCAATCTGGCAGGGTTAGCATAGTTAGGAACTTTAATCAAGTTCCTTTGATTAAGCAATGCATCTATCGGGAACCTAGAAGCACAACTTCTCTGCAGCAATGTCTTCCTTGAGATTCAAACAGCTCCCATCCTACTGGTGTTTCAAAGGGCCCTGAAGATCTCATTCTTCACCCAAGCAAGGGCCACTGAAACTCTTACTTAGATTATGGGGGTTGTTTTTTCTTTGTTCTCATCCAATTTTGTCCTTTTTTTGGTTTTGTTGTTTTCTTATTTTTAGATGTTTTTAACAATTGGTAAACTACTGAATTGCTGGGAATTGGGCAGGATATAAATTTAATGAATAAATAAAATTAAATTGATCAGAACTATAGGCTAGACTGGAAAGTTAGAAAAATATCCTGGAAAAAGACAATGGCAAACCACTTCCATACCATTGCAAAAAAAATAAATAAATCATGAGTGTTCAGGAACTCACCAAGGATTGAGCTTGCTTTAGACATACAACCTTTATTAGGTAAGCATGTAGCATAAAATATTTTATTTCATTTAAATATGGTTAAAATTAAGTAATTAGCACTATTGTTCTCCAATCGCTTAATAATCTGTCATCTCAAATTAAAATTTGGTAAAGGACTGGGTGTTGCATAGAGTCAGAAGTCAAGCTATGTACCTGCAATATAAAAACGGATGAAGTACTAAAAGGTAACGTATAATATAATCAAGTTCAGCTCATGGTGACAGACTGGACACAAATATATTGCTTATGTGACACTAAAAGAGAGACCAAGAGAGAATGCTATGAAAAGCAAGAGAGCTTGCCCTTCGCTTCCTCCAGGTTTTTTTTTTTAAATTTCTATTTCTATTTCTCAGTTCAAGCTACAGCTGAGATTTCCTAGTGGTCTCCCATCTAAAAAGTAACCAGGCTTGACGCTGATAGTTCTGCCCTCCCCTTTTCCGAACACCTGAGCAAACCCGTTTACCCTTTTGTTTTCAGTGCGGTCCTACCATTATTGAGCGTCAGTAGGGACCGACCATAAGTTAAATAATCAGTTTCCCTGCTTTTCTTGTACGAGTACGTTCCCTTCCCGTCCTTCTCTCAAACACGCTCTCAAACCAAGGCGCAGCAAAGAGAAGCCCAGAAGGGGAACCTCCCCGGGCGGGTGTACAGCGTTCAAACCCCTCCGAAAGCGATTGCGCCATCGCCATGTGGGCGCGCGCGCTTTTTGCTCTCCCTTTTTTATTTTTTCCTCTAGCGCACCCAACGGGCATCTTGCCCTCGGCGGCGTGAGCCAATGGCAGGCGGGGAAGCCTTTCCTATATCTGATGACGACAGCGAGGCACAGAAGAGCGCGCAACCAAAACGCCGCATCGGTCGCGGCGACCCGAAAGCTGCCAGAGAGAAGCTGGCTGTTGTTGGGTTTTTTTTTGCCTTCCTAGCCTTGCTCGGCGCTTTGTGAGCGACGCCAACCGCCGCCATTTTGTGAGCGTGTCCAGCCTCCGCCCCCACCCCCATCCGTTCCGCGCGCGCCATTGGTCCCCCTTTTTTCCCGTCTTTCTCTCTCTCTCTCTTGTTTAGTGAGCGAGCGGGCGGGCGCCATGTTTGTAAGGAAGACATAATCAGAGCAGCTCATCTCTCCGGCCAACGTGTCCCGTCTTCCTCCCTTCCGCTCTGCCTGTTTCTTCCTGCTGCCTCCTTCCTCCGTATGGTCTGTGTGTACCGAACTCCTCCTCATAAGCTGCATTTATCTCCCATCTCTTTTTTTCCCCGTGAGGTGCAGGACAGCCTCCCCTCGGGCGGCCGTTAAAAAAAAAATGCCCCTCTGTATAGCGTATGTTTGTGTTCCCCCCAATTCAGTAAATCCGTGAGGGAAGTCTAGTTCGCCGGTGCGCGGGGGGGACACCTCGCGTCGTCCAGCCTTGTAGACGCAGCGCCGCCGCTCCCTCGTGTGTGAGTGTGTGTGTGTGTGTGTGTGTATTTGTGTGTGCGCACGAGTGCGCGCCGCCTCCACCTCCTCTCCCTGCGCCCTACGACTGGCAGCAGCGTCCTGCCTTCCTCCCCCCTTCCTCCTCCTCCTCCTCCTCCCTGCACACAGGCACAGCCAGCACAATGGCCTTTGAAAGCCTATTCTCCAAGCCCCCAAACCCAGTTCTTGACCAAAACATGCCCGACTCTGACAGGCAACATGCAGGGGACGAAAGGTCGAGTAACGTTCTTCTCTTTCTCTTTCTCTCTCTCCGCTTCTCAATGGTGATAATTAACAGTGATAATAACTAAGAATGATGGTATGCTATGTGATGATGATGATGATGATAATGGTGGTAATGACGATGTCTTAAATGTGCCTAGGTGAATTTAAGGAAAGAAAATGTCTATAGCATTGTATGGGGGAAAGTCACCTTCAGCCTGAGGTAGGGGTGGGTTTTTTTTTTCTTTTTAGTCTAGATACAAGGATGTTTTTAAGGGTGGGTGATAACTTCAAGGTGCATTTTGCATGCATTTTTTTACATTTCCTTTTTTTTTACATTTTTTTTCATAAAATGCACTTTACATTGGCTGTGTGTAATGTCACTGTTGTTCTTAATCCCCTGTCTCATTGCCATTTGAACTCAAAGGCAGACTGTATCCCCTCATATATGTAACATATATGAAGCTGTATAACAATGTATACACCTTACACATTAACTAGAACTCTCTTTGTATGTGTGTATATATGAGGTTTTCTCAGATTTTTCTCTTTGCCAGTTTACAATTCTAATTCCATAATCTAACAAACCAGAGGCATTTTCTGGTTTGAGGTCCTGCTCCTTTTCTCTCTCTCTCTCTCTCTGTCTCTGTGCAAATGTTTGTTTTCATACAGATACGGCTTTCTTCACTAATTTGTTTTTAAACATGTGGAAACCTGAAATTATTTCTCCTACATTTTCCAACTTGTATGCAAAAATTTTCTTTACATCAAGATTTGTAATGGAGGTCCCATTAACAGACAAGTCTCCTATAATCCCGCTGTCCCTCCACAAGTATGTACAATGCTGTTTTATGAAAGTGATACAAAACATTACATAATCCCTTATTCATGCAGCAACACAGTAAATAGGATATAGCCTTTTCCCCGCTTCTACAAACAGGAATACCAAGGAGAATAGCAATTCAAATGACTTGCCCATAGCTACAGCGAATCAGGTCTGGGCCTCATATATCATGCCTTCAAATCAGCACTTCTTCACTAATGTAGTTACAGTGTTTTAAATTGTTGATTAAACAGTGGATATTTCAAAATGGTTACTGCAGTACAGCATTGTTACTTTCAATACAGGTGGTCCTGGACTTACAACGGTTCATTTAGTGACTGTTCAAAGTTACAAAGGCATTGAAAAAAATGGCTTATGACCATTTTTCACCCTTATGACTTAGTAGCATCCCCATGATCATGTGATCAAAATTCATATGCTTGGCAACTGGTTCATACTTACGACCGTTGCTGTGTCCCAAGGTCATGGGATCACCCTTTGCGACCTGACAAGCAAAGTCAGTGGGGAAGCCAAATTCATTTAACAACTATGTTACTAACTTATCAGCTGCAGTGATTCACTTAACAACTGTGGCAAGAAATGTTGTAAAATGGGGCCAAAACTCACCTAACAAATGTCTGACTTAACAACACAGATTTTGGGCTCAGTTGTCATAAATCGAGGACTACCTGTATTAGTCAACCTGAACTGAACTGTCCTGCAAGATAAAGTCTGCATGTTAATTAGTAGAACCAAAACAAAATACCATGACTTCCAGATAAGTGAAAACTGCAATAATACAAGATGTATGCAAAATATAACAAACTTTTTTCTATACAATTGGACAAAATTTTTACAAAATTATTCATGTAGTATATTGACGTTGACCAGCCAATCTAAATCTATAAGTGGATCTGTTTAGATTTATTAGGAATTATACTAAGGCTAAGAAGGACACCTAAGGCTTAGAAATTGTATGACTGTGCAAAATAGCCCCTAATTAAATTATTCCTGTTAACCATGACAAATGCAATAATAATTTATTATATTCTTTCCTTTTAACCTTCAAGATGTCTTTAATCAATGAAACATATTTTAAGTGGATAACTTTAAAGTTGAGGCTACCTAATTATTTTTGACAGAATAGTAGACGAGAGTTGTACTTCCTTATTTTGAAGTATGGATCTTTCCATGCAATCTATCTCCCTCCCCCCCTTCTCTCTCATTAGAAAAGTCAGAAATCTCAAAACAAGTAGTGAAAGTCCACATTCAATTACGGTATTTCAAATACAATGGAGTTATCTTGTTCACTGACTTCCATGTAACATTTTGAAGGAAACAAAAGGATGTGCTCTTCATATCAAGAGAGCTCTCATTTTGTTTTGATAAAATGATCTAGAAACAGATCTCAATTATTTAACCTGTGGTGATGGCCCATCTTAGCTCTTGGATATAGCTGCCCATTCTCCTGTTCCATTTTTGCACTGACATAACTAAATATATCTGGAATAGATAAGATAAATGCTTAAAACCATTCACTAGTAACTCCCTGAAACTGCATTTCTTGACTATTTTTCTACATGAGAATTCATAAATAAATTGAGTTAGTGTACAAAGCTTAAAATTTAAATATAGCTTATTCATGTGTAATTGTTTTTAACATTTAAGTATTTAAACATTAACTCAAATGACTTTAATTATCCATTTGCTAATATATTTTCCAAAATATACATTAATTAATTAAATTAATTAATGCATTAATTTTTGTCTTCATAATATAAAATAATTTGGAATTTAAGGTACAAATGAAATTCTCTTAGCATCTCTTCAAAAGGATAGAAGTAGTAGTGACGACCCCAAGTATTATATTCCATAGAAGTTCTTGATACTGAAGTCTTAGAAGGTATCATAAAAATTTACAGCTACATGGGAATATTTGGTACTTCTATGGTTGTCAGAGTGAAATTAATTTCCTTTTTGAAAATTAATACATTGCTAATTGCAAGAAGTATGCTACCACTGCACTTATCAGTGATTTCACTGATCTGTTTAATATTTTTATATAATTTAAATGTTTTTAAATGAGTACCGGTAATTAAAAGTTTGGTTAAAGTTTGCTATTAAAAATTTGGAGACTTTCTCAATTATTCATTATCACATTTTAATTTATCAGTTTAAAAAATTGATGTAGTTTCAAATGTAAAACTATTTATTGTGTAGTTTTATAGAGTTCAATTGAAATAATGGAAAGCAAATATATTTTTGCATCTTCATTCTTTACTTTCTATCATGTTAAATATTTTTAAAATCTTTATTAATAGGATGAAGTTAAAAATAGGTTTTGGAAATTTGTCTTCAAAACAGTATTTTTCTCTCAAAGTAACAGTATAAGATATATTCTTGTTACACTGTTACTCTGCTTTTGTAATATATATAGATATACATACACATACATACACACATCAATGGGGCAAAAGTATAATTTAAATACTGTATATAAAGTTCTTGTATGTCTAAACTGTAATTTAAAATTATATTAGTTAAGTTCCAATGGCCCGCAAATTGTTAAGTAACTATTACATTAAAGGCATAATTACAGTATCTTACATTTTGAAAAGGTCATCTTGTTTAACTTCACTTTGGAAGCTGGATATATTAAACACATCTGAATACTTATAAATTAAGAATCTTATGTAACTGTAGCTCGAAAATGATTTCGTTTATACCTTAGGGAGCTTATTGCATGGCTGAACTAAGTCACTTTTCTGAACACTTCCTGTTTCTCTGCCAGCTGTGCCAATGTTTCCATTAGCTGTGTTGAATTTTTTTTCCTTTGTTCTAAAGTTTCACTAGCTCTGTCTGCATTTTAAATTGATACTTCAACTTGATACTGTCCAGAAGTATTGATTACAAATCCCAGAAGTTGATATGGAATTCTGGGAATTATAGTCCAACATATCTAGGCAATGCCAATATGGAGAAGGCCAATTTAAGTGAGCATGAAAAGTAAGAGAATTAAACTTCAGTGTATTATTATGACCTAGAACACTTCATTCTTCAAATGTAGCTTTAACTCTGTACCCCTTACTAATTGTGAAAATAAAGGGTATTTGTAAGAATAGGAGAGCTTTGTCTGAATATCATACTAGCTTTTGCTACAGGTTTAGGCATAATTTACTAATGTGTGAGATATAGCAATAGGACTTAGACTTATAACTTAGACTTATATACCACTTTACAGCCCTCTCTAAGTGGTTTACAGAATCAGCATATTACCCCCAACAATCTGGGTTCTCATTTTACCTTGGAAGGTGGAAGGCTGAGTCACCCTTGAGCCTGGTGAGATTCGGTCTGCCAAATTGCAGCAGTCAGCAGAAGTAGCCTGCAGTACTGCATTCTAACCACTGCGCCACCGCCGCTCTTTATATGCTTAGTTTATCCAGTAGTAAATAGATTTGGTTTTGAAGTACATTATTTCAAACTACAAGGCATAATTATATTCTGAAGTATCAGTTTGATGTCTATGAATAACAGTATACCTGCTAACCCATTTATAATGATTGCCAAAATCCCATGCCCAATGAATTTTCTAAAATAACTATTGTAATTATAAAAATGGTGGCAAACATGATAAAATACCATCTGCAAACTTACGTATTTCTGGAACTTTCCCAGGGCCCCACATAGTCCCCAAAAGGCATTCTCAAAAATAAAACAGTAGTGGCTGTAGTTGCTGTTTTATCTATCTTAGAATGTGTTCTGAATTGTTTTTTATATATTTTTAATTGAACTTTTTAACAAGATTAAAAACAATTGAAATATTAGAAAAATCAAAGAAACAAAGAATAGTGAATAAGAAAATAGAGGAAATAGAAAAGAAGAATAAAAGATTATAAATAAGCAACTTCTGATCTTTTTGGTAGCAGTTATAAATGTATTTATATTTTACTCTCTTTTTCTAAACTTACATCAGGATTTCCTTCTTTCTGTAAGCTTTCCTTTCTAATAAGTCAGACTTATAAATCACAAGTTTATTTTTATTTTTATTTTTCAGCAAAAAGTCCATAAGGATTTCCAGGCACTGATAAATATAGTTGTTGATCAAACAAGTTAATTTTGCCATTTTTGCTAGTTCTGTTTCCCAATCTTTCCTCCATTGTGGGTATTTCAGAGTCTTTCCATTTTTGCGTATCTACATAAAAAAGTATTACAGCAAGAATTATACATAAAAATAATCTTCCATGATTCTTTTTTTAACTGTCCATTAATCTCAACAAGAAAATTTCTGATTTCAGTTGTATGTTGATTATTAAAATTCTTTGTGTCCTTATATGTACTTGAACCCAGAAATGTCTGGGGTTTTTTTACAAGTCCACAGGCATGATAAAATTACCACTCATTTTGTCCATATTTCCAACACAAATTTGAAATACTTTTTATACATTCTAGACAATTTTTCTAGAGTTATATGTCTGATACATTTTATTAAAAAAATCTTTTTAAGGTATAACATAATGTAAATTTTAATCCTATAAACCATATATTTTCCCACTGTTCCATCAGTATATTGTGTTCAAAGTTTTTACACCAATTTATTTTACAATCTTTCACTTATTCTTCTGCTTCAAATTTCAATGAACGTTTATGTATTTATGCAGGTACATGTTTATCATTTGTACATAGTTCAATTTCAATTTTTGTTCTGCTATGTGCCAAATGTCCTATTATCTGCTTTAAATCTTTTTTTTAACTTCGTATATAAAAAATGAAAACTAAATTCTTCAGCAGCCAATTGCTCTCTTGATTTTATCTTATGTTCTCCATGTTCCTATTCTATCAACTCTCAGTATTTTAACCATTTTTCTTCATGTATTGTTACTTTCCTGTATTCTTCCTATGCTGAGATAAAGGCCTTTTCAGGCACAGGCACAGGGTTTATATCTATTCCATATTTTCAGCATAGCGCTTCTGATATTTTTTTTAATTTGATTTATATGATATGATTCTTAAAAACTACATTAACCTGTATTTTAGATTGTACCATAGAAAATTATGCCAAAAATGTTCCGCTAATACAATTTTAAAAGCATAAATTATAAACCATGAATAAATTTTCAAGTTAATAGAAACAATTTAATTTTGTTTGAGACAGTTTGGTATACAGTAGAGCTAAGGTGCTTGGTACAAACCAGAAGATAGTCTTCTAGTCTTCCCTTAAACATGAAAGCCAATTGAGTGACTTTGGATCAGTCAAGCTCTTAGCCCATCTCACAAGATTGTTCTGTGGAAAATCTGAAGTGAAAGCATTACTGTATTTGCTGTCTTGAGTTCAGCAAAAATAAAATAAATAAAATAATACATAGATATAATTTATGTAAAGTAACCTTCAAACAAAGGAAACAAACAGCAACATTAAAAATACTTTTTGGCCTATTTAACTGGGTAAACTAATCTGTTTATAATATTTCAAAATATTTCATAATTTTATGTATTTCTACATATTGTAATTATATAATTATATATTATAACATAAATACATAATTCATTTTGTTTGTTATTTTTTTTAGCAATAATATTTTTATCTGGTATGCATTTGTAACTTCAGGACAAAGTGTATTTTACCTACAACAGCAAAATGTAGGCTAAGAGTAGGAATAGAAACTAGTGTCCTCACAACATATAGTGTCACAGCTTAATCATTGCACTTTACTCTCTCAAAAAACATTTCTTCCAGATTTTAAATCAGAATGTCTTAATCTTCCAGCAGATATTATAATGATTGTGCCACTGAGAAAGATCTAAATAATTTGTAATGTTGGATTTTAGTCTATTAGTTTTGCTACTTTCTGCAATCTTCTATAAGTAGTCCTCAACTTATTGTGACCAATTGCTTAACAACAAAAAATTACGATGGGCCCAGACCAGTGCTTAACAGCCTGTAAAGCACTTCTGGCCATCACAAAATATCATCCCCAGTACAAACATACATCCTTGTCATCACATAACTGCATGTCAGGTGCTTGACAACCAGCTTGCCTGGAATGACCGTGATATTCACTAAATGACCATAGTGATTTGCTTAATAACTGTCATTAAAAAAAAATCAGGTCTGGTCACATGGGTGTCTCGAGTTATGACTGTAAAAACATAACCAGAAGTCTGGTCCCTATTGTGATTGTAAGTCGAGGACTACCTGTATTAATATATTTTATATGTATTTTGGTAATTAGGAATTATATAGTTCTGAACTATTTTGAGAATTAGTTATATTTATTAAAATAATATTAAGAAAATTGCAATTGCAACTGTATGGTCTGATATAAGAAATATAGTAAATATGAAATATTTAGAAATGTGAAGTATAAATATATTGCTAGAGCATATTTAAATGCATGTCACTATTTTGACTAGTAGACATATGGATATATAACAATTTTGCATTATTTCCTGCAGTCTTCCAAATTCTTATTTTATCTAATTTTATCTTTCTTAAGCAGAGAGGATGGTGAACTTGAAGATGGTGAAATAGATGATGCTGGACTTGAAGAAGATAAGGAAGAAAAAGGCACAAAAGTTGAAGATAAACCTAAAAATGAAAAATCTCATAGGAAATCACGAAAGAAGCGCAAAAAGGAAAAAGAGAAGAAAAAATCAAAAAGGAGAAGGCGAGATAAACACAAGGTATGAAGTGCTGTTCAGCATGCTATGCAGTTTATTTCTAACTAATAATTATTTCCCATTTAAACAAAATGTAAAACTATACTGGAATACCTTTGCTTTAATTAGGTCACTGAATATTAACTCCTTGAAAAGGTGAGGTTCCCTATAGACTGCAAAATAGCCTAGAAAAACAGTCCATTGAGCCATCATCACATGCTGCTTCTAACATTCTTACTCCCATGTGAACTGAAATGTGTACTGGCAAGGCTCATTAAGTGTTCCAATACTGCACGAGACTATATGCACAACCTACCTTAATTGGTGATAAACTGATCCTTGTGCCAATTTGCCTTGTATAACCCTAGCTTACATTCATTTTTGTTCAGATATACTTGTTGTAATTTCAATCATACAGATAGATGTGTGTGAAATCACACAAACACACACTATGATTATACTACAGCAATCATTGTATAAATGATAATCTTATTTCTTTTCAGCATAATTCACCTTCTAGTGATGATAGTTCCGACTATAGCATTGACTCTGATGCTGAACGTACAGAAAGATCTCATAAGAAAGGAGCTGGTTTCTATAGAGATTATGAGTCTTCATTCCTTCAGGTACAGCTTTCTAAGTGGACTTCATTTTGTTTGTTTTTCCATGCTGTTTAAATAGTTGCTTGATCATTTTTGTCAAAAGATGTGAATTATTCTTTTGAATTAATTATATTGGATTAGTTTAGACATATAAGTGCACTGTATTGTTTTTGATTATAGTTTATTTCTTAAACGAATAATTCTTATTCCTTGTTTGTTACTTTTCACGATGTGGAGGTAAGGATAAGTACTTCAAATACGACACTGGTAGTCGTTGACTTACGACCACAATTGGGACCGGAATTTCTGTCATTAGTCATTGCAGTCATAAATTAAGTCAGACCCAAATTTATGACAAATTTTACAGCAGATGAATGAATCACTGCTGTTATTAAGCAAATCATAAGGTCATTAACCAAATCCAACTTCCCAGTGGGTGTTTTTTTCAATTTTTTTTTTTGTCAGAAATTGGCAAAACAGGTCACAAATTGCAATTGCAATTTGCACAAATTGCAATCACATGATCATAGGATACTGCAACTGGCAATAAATATGATCCAGTTGCCAAGCTATCAAATTGCAATCATGTGACCACAGGAATGCAACTGTCATAAGTGTAAGTACAAGTCATAAGTCACCTTTTCCAAGGCTGTCGTAACATTGAACTATTGTTGAATGAATGGTTGTAAGTCAAGGACTACCTTGTATAAAAGGCTATAAAGGGATGTCACCTTTTTGGAGTGACTAAAATTTTCAAGCCTTTTTCAGGTGAGTAAAATCCCCAGTCAAAATGAAACCATTTTTATTTCTGCCCTTTTCCCAATTTGTATAAAAATCTTCATTTAATTCATACATTTTGAAAGGAAATGGATATTATTTTGGATTTCTAATAATCTGAGGTCTCTACCATATTATTTTTCATAATGTATAGTGAAGCTGAAGATAAATGTTGATTAAATAAGTTTCTATGAATACTGTACAGCTGCCTGTTACACATGTATGATATTGACATTAATGTGAGATAATAGACAAGGAAATCCAATAAATATCTCTTACAGAAACAAACATTTCAAAGCTTCTTATGTTCCTCAATTTATAAGAAAGTCTCACAGTTGGACTATTGTAATACACTCTACATGAGCTACCCTTGAAGAGCATTTGGAATCTACAGCAGCTGCAGAGTGCGATAGTGTGGGCAGTTCTTGGGGCCGAAGAATGGCCCATAGAACACCACTGCTCTGTGAACTGCATTTGCTGCCAGTTTGCTTCCAGGTGCAATTCAAGGTGTTGGTAATCACCTTTACAGTCCTTCATGGTATGGGTCCAGGGTACTTGAGGAACCATTTCATTCCACTGAGATTGGCCCGCCTCACCTATGCTGGCAGAGGAGCCATGCTGCAGGCCCTGTCCGGACGCTTATTCCAGCAGGCAGGGAAATGCCATTGCATTTCACCTCTGGAACATCTTGTTCCAGATGTTCTGGAACGCCCCCACCCCTGGTATCAAGTCAGCCCCAATCCTCCTGATCTTCCATAAGAGCCTAAATACCTGGCTCTGCCAGCTAGCTTGGGAGTCCAATGGGGGAGCATCCCACCTCCCTCCCATCCTGTCCCCCTTCATCTTTAATTGGATCATAATGTTTGGCTTGTTTTAACTTACGTTTTAATGTATGTGTGTGTGTATGTGTATACCTTTAATGATTATAAGATGCTCAGAGTTGCCCTGTAGTAAAATGAACAGCTAATAAGTTTTATAAATAAATAAATAAATAAAATAAAAGTAGTATAAGTGTGTCACTTTAACAAATTAATTTGAATCAAATCATTTCTACTTAACATTTCCAGCAGTCACACAAACTTAATATGATTGGAATTAATGTCAACATTTTTAAAAAAATTAAAAAGGGAATCCAGAATGGAAATTTTCCAGACAGTTTAATATAGTACTGATCTTTTTCTTCTTTCTGGAATTCATCAAATTGGCTATTTTCCTGTATAAACAGAAATGGACATTGGAGAAACGAAAGATATGAAAGTAGAGTGCCTCTAGGATAAGAAGATACAGGTCTTGTATGTATATTTTTATCTCCCACCAGAATAAGTGAAAAGAGGATATAAGGAAAAACTGCTTGTATCAGAGGTGTTTTTATCCATGCAGGTTTAATTTTATTGCAACAAAAATGATGCAATCAAATGTTCAATAAAGTCATGTAACTGACCTCAAGCAAAATATTGATTCAAATCTATTAAATCTGTCTTTCAGAGGAGCTCTTAACTAGTTTTAAAACTTTCTTATCCATCTTAATTATTTACATATACAGTATACAGTTAGCTTCACTTGGAGAAAGAATCTGTGCTTTGCTTGAAAAAGTATTGTCTTCTATAACCCATGTTACATGAATTATATATACAATGTGAGGGAAAACATTGATTTTGAAAAAGACATGCAATAATCCAATTATTTCATTTTAGAATCTTTCAACACTACTATATACTCATAATTAAATGAGCAGACATCTTACCTCAGTAACTGTCAATTTGTCTGGGGATAATCACTAGAAACAGTTTCCTCCCATTTTTGAAAATTTGTATGAATAATATGCTGATAGTATATTTTTTAAAATTGCAGTAAAGAAAACTTTAGAAGAGTAAATGCTACAATATATATGCTGGTAAATCTCAGAATCCTGATATATCTTGTTACATTATATATTAGAGATTTATTCTTAATTAGTATTCTCATATGTTTCTAATTATTTTTATGTGTTATCCAGCATGGGCATATTTCAGGAAAATATAACCCTTCACAGAAGACACAGCATAATAAGAAATCAAAAAGCAAAGATTATGATAATTACAGTGATGATTTTGGCTACAATGAAGATGAAAAAGAAGATTTTGCTGACCAGTTAAAGCAATATAGACAAGCTAAAGAAACTAATGAGTTAGAAGCTCCAATTTCAAAAGAACCAGGGAAAAAGCAAGGGATGAAAGGGATTCACAAAGGTAAGGCAGTAATCAAGGAACAATTAAATCTGAGTTTGTATCTATCTATGCAGAATGGAATGCAAAGTCACATTTATTATTACAGAACTTCACTATTAATCCATTAGTGGCAATAAAAACAGTCAATAATCACCTCACCATTAATCATACTACCATTATATTTCCAGTGAGTGTAATTATACTTTTATAGGTTCATTAGCCTTATGTCTTCCAGTCTAAACTGTTTTCCTATATCCAAAAAGGTTCATTCAGTTATAAATCGTCAGAAATTTTAACATAAGAGAACATAGACAACATAGTTATATTATTCCAGTAGGACAGTTAATAAATATTAATAAAATTTTAATATTAATAAAAAAGGAATTATATGTGTAATGTTTTTACCTGAAATCCAGTTAATGTAATTTTAGTAAGTAAGCATGTTAATTTGAGAATGGCTAGCATTATTCTTGCCATTGATACATATCCTTTGATGTCTTTCAATGAGATGTATGCTTTTTCTTAGAACTCTGCTCAATTGATACACCCAGGCTTATGGTCATGGGTGATTTCAATCTGCCGTCCGTTGGTGAAACGTCGGAGATGGCTCGGGAGTTCATGACTTCCATGACGGCCATGGACCTGACCCAGTTAGTTCATGGCCCCACTCACAGGGGGGGACACACGCTGGACCTGATTTTTGTCTCTGGCCAGTGGTTGAGTGGTCTTATTATAGGGGATATAGACATGAAACCCTTGTCATGGTCAGATCACTCACTCCTTCGTCTGGACCTTTGAACCGCTACACCCCGCCGCAGGGAGGCGGACCCAATTAGATGGATCCGCCCCAGGCGCCTGATGGATCCTGATAGGTTCCAGACGGAGCTTGGGCCAATTCCTGAAAATCTGGCACACGACTCGGCCGAGGACCTGGTAACTGCCTGGGATCGGGCGGCTGGTGGGGCCTTGGATCGAGTCGTGCCTTTGCGGCCTCTGACCCGGTGTCGATCCCTCGCGGCTCCTTGGTTCACCGAGGAGCTGAGGGAGATGAAACACCGGAAAAGACGCCTAGAGAGCGGTTGGAGGGCCAGTCTCGCTGAATCTGACCGAACACTGGTAAGGTCGCATATTAAGACCTACCTAGTGGCGATAAAGACGGCAAAGTTTAACTACTTTTCCGCCTCTATTGCGTTATCAGGGAATCGTCCGGCCACCCTGTTCAGGGTAACCCGCTCCCTGCTCCATCCGGGAGCGCGGGAGGATCCCTTGGAAGGCAGGGCGGAGGATTTCGGACAATACCTGTATGACAAAATCGCTCAGATCCGGGGGGATTTGGACTCTTGACTGGGTAGATCAGGGCAGGGTGACGAGGAATAGTCTTGAGAATGTTATCTGGGAGGAGTTTGATGCTGTGACTCCGGATGATGTGGACAGGATTTTGGGGAGACTTAGTGCGGCCACATGTTTACTGGACCCGTGTCCCTCCTGGTTGGTACTGGCCTCCCGGGAGGTTACACGAGGCTGGCTCCAGGGTGTTATCAACGCTTCGTTGAGTGAGGGTCACTTCCCCGCCGCCTTAAAAGAAGCGGTGGTGAGGCCTCTCCTCAAGAAGCTGTCCCTGGATCCGGCAATATTGGCCAACTATCGTCCTGTCTCCAACCTTCGCTTCCTGGCGAAGGTTGTTGAGAGTGTGGTCGCGCGACAGTTTCCACAATTCTTGGAGGAAACATCCTATCTAGATCCGTTCCAGTCGGGTTTCAGGCCTGGACACAGCACGGAAACGGCATTGGTCGCGTTGGTTGATGATCTCTGGAGGGCTCGGGACAGGGGTTGTTCCTCTGTTCTGGTCCTGTTAGACCTCTCAGCAGCTTTTGATACCATCAACCATGGTATCATGCTGCACCGGTTGGAAGAGTTGGGGATGGGGGGCACCGTATTACGGTGGTTCTCCTCCTTTCTCTCCGACCGGTCGCAGTTCGTGTTGGCAGGGGGGCAGAGGTCGACCTCAAGACCTCTTATATGTGGAGTGCCTCAGGGGTTGGTCCTCTCGCCCCTCCTGTTCAACATTTATGTGAAGCCGCTGGGCGAGATCATCCGTGGCTTTGGGGTGAGATACCACCAGTACGCTGATGACACCCAGCTGTACATCTCCACCCCAGGCCACCCCAACGATGCCCTTGAAGTGATGTCCCAGTGCCTGGAGGCTGTGCGGATCTGGATGGGGAGGAACAGGCTCAGGCTCAACCCTTCCAAGACTGAGTGGCTGTGGCTCCCGGCATCCCGATATAGTCAGTTGACTCCATCACTGACTATTGGGGGCGAGTCGTTGGCCCCCACAGAGAGGGCTCGCAATCTGGGAGTCCTCCTGGATAGGCAGCTGTCCTTGGAGGAACATCTGACGGCTGTAACCAGGGGGACCTTTTGTCAGGTTTGCCTGATCCGACAGTTGCGGCCCTTTCTTGATCGGGATTCCCTGTGCACAGTCACTCATGCCCTCGTCACCTCTCGCCTTGACTACTGCAACGCTCTCTACATGGGGCTCCCCTTGAGGAGCACCCGGAGGCTCCAACTGGTCCAGAACGCAGCAGCGCGGGTAGTGACAGGAGCAGCATGGCGCTCCCATGTAACACCGCTCCTGCGCGAGCTGCACTGGCTCCCAGTGGTCTTCCGGGTGCGCTTCAAGGTGTTGGTTATCACCTTTAAAGCGCTCCATGGCATAGGGCCTAGCTATCTTCGAGACCGCCTGCTGCCACCAACGACCTCCCATCGACCCGTGCGCTCCCACAGAGAGGGCCTCCTCGGGGTGCCATCAGCCAAACAGTGCAGGCTGGTGACCCCAGGGGGAGGGCCTTCTCTGTGGGGGCACCTACCCTCTGGAATCAATTGCCTCCAGAGATAAGGAGAATCCAAGACCTCAGTGCCTTCCGCCGTGCCCTTAAAACCTTCCTTTTCCAGCAAGCCGGGCTGGCCTAATTTTTTAAGTGTTTTTAAGTGTTTTGTTTATTGTTTTTAATTATGGGGCCAAATTTATATATATATATATTTTAACTGTATTTTAATATTTGTACTTGATGTTTTTACTTGGCTGTTCACCGCCCTGAGTCCTCAGGGAGAAGGGCGGTATACAAATTCAAAATAAAATAAAATAAAATAAAATAAAATAAAATAAAAATAAATTGAAGATCAAGTGAAAAGCAGAGAATTCCTTTATCTTTATTAAAAGAAAGGAAAACATAGTAGGAGCAGGTATTTTAATGCTGAAAAGTCCCTTTCCCATACAGTTCTTGAATTCTGTCATGTGTTTAGACATTCTAGAGAAATATATTTGCCCCGTAAATTAAACATGGATCATGGATCTGAAAAGTCTGAAACTTTGGGAATTAAATGAATTGATTTTGTAACTTCAGTCTTATGTGTAATGGTTAAATAGTCCTGTGCAAAAAGATTCCAAACTGCTCCTCAGCTAATACTCTGAAGAAGCACATTAAAAGCACAATTAAGTTTTTCCTGCCTCAGAAACAGTTTGAATACATACTTTACTGTTTAACCAAATTTAAGTTGCCAGAACATTAAAATTGGGAATGGACAATTTTCAGAAAGCACTGTTTCTTAGATAGTAGTTGATTGCATTTAATTATATAGTGGTAATCAAAACGGCTTCAAGGCTTAGTAATAACATTAATTTGTTTATTTAGAACATATTTATCCTGTAGGGTCACATGTAGCTCGCAATAAAAATACATAAATCACAAACCAGAATTACAAAAATAGCAATAAAAATATTTAAATATTAAATAAAGCAAGATTATACATGAGCGAGATTGTATGTCCATTTATTTATATCTTATATTTTGATAAGTTGAATAAAATTATTTAAAAATGAAGCCTAGATAAATTTATCAAAAAGATGTTCTTATTCCAGCCATACAGATTGTGGAGTTTTGAGATGTACAAAGAATACTCTGAAAATTATTTCAACATGTAGGATTCATACAGAAGCAATCCATTAAATATTCTGCCCATAAATCTTTCAAATCTTTAAAGGTCAGTAATGCCAGAACTTTTGATTAAATTCAGAAACAAATTATAAGCCCATGCACCTATTTTAGCAAGAGAGTTTTATACTCCATTTATGCAGTATTTGATAATAAATGAACTGCAGCCTCCAAGCCCATTTCAGAATATTGTCAAAGACAGCTTTGCAATACATTGAAGCACATTGCAATAAGCCAAAAGTAATGTAATCAAAGTATGCATTATTTTGGAAATAAGCGTAACATGGCAACATAGCAGGAGATCTATCTATATAATTGATATAGCCATCCACTTCATGGATAGGACTCTGGATGGCATACAGTTGAAACAAAACAATTAAAAACACAGCCTTAAAAACTTTTAAAATTAAAAATATAAATATATTCACTTCAGAGTGAATGGGAGAATGCATTCAAGGTCCACATAGTTATAATGCACGCACTATTTACATTGGATCCCCAAGCCTGCTGACAAAACCATGTTTTAAGAGATTTCCGGAAAGTCAGTTGGGTCTAGGCCAGGGGTGTCAAACTCGCAGCCTGCGGGCTGGATGCGTCATGTGCCAGCCCCACCCCTGCCCAGTTTAGCGAAGGGGGGGAAAGTCCTAATACATCACATGACACTGAGTGACAACGTGAGTTTGACACCCCTGGTCTAGGCAATGTCATCAAATAGCAAAGAAGGCTCACTTTTCGGGTCCCTGACAGATGGAACTACTTAGCAGATGTGATCTGTAACTTGTCCTTCCTGCCAGACTTGACTGGATAGGCAGATGTAACCAGGAGAGATAGTCCCACAAATAATCCAGCCCCATGCCACATAGGACTTCAGAGGTAAAAAAACAGCATTTTGAGTTGAACTTAGAAGCAAACTGGCAATCATGGAGTAGAGATACAAGATTTGCAAGTTCTAGCAGCACACATTTGATCTCATCACTATATTTTGCACAAGTTGAAGCTTGCGGATACTTCTCAAAAGTAACCCCACTTAGAGCGCATTTCATTAATTCAGGAGGAGATCAGGGCATGAGTAATTGAGAGTAGAACCTCCCAATTCAGGAATAGGCACAATTGGTGCACAACACAAAGTTGTGCAAAGGCTCTCCTAGCCACAGCTGCTACCAAGCAAGAGTCATGAGTCCAGAAGAACTCCCAGATTGTACACAAGGTCTGTTAGGGGCTAAGTAATCCCATCCAACATCAAAGATAGTACTTTCTCAGATTCAGGAGACTTTGAAACCTTAAGCCATTCAGCCTTGCCAGGGTTCAGCTGAAGCCTGTTGTTCCACATCCCATACAGCCTCCAGGCAATGAGACAGCAATCAATTGCAGGACTCAATTCACCAGGATGAAAATGTATAACTGGATATTATCAGCATATTGTATTGATGATACCTCATCCCATGGCAATGGATATTCTTACCCAGTCTTTCATCTAGAACTAATTAGACGAGTGAAGAGATTACTGAATCCATGGAATCCTACATAGAAGGGGTCAAGGGTTGGACCTCTCATTCTCAAATAACAGCTGGGGGAGGATGAAAGAGATCCAGCACAATACAGTGCCATCCACTTCCACCCTATGGTGCTGATCTTGAAGGATACCATGGTCAGTGGTATCAGAGGCCACCAAGACGTCAAGTAGAGCCATGATATATGGACAGTCCCCATCCCACTCCTACTAGAGGTCACCCAAAAGCATGACCAATGCTGTTTCAATCCCTGCCTAGACCTAAATCCTCATTGAAAAGAGTCCAGATAATAGATGGTCTATTATGATGCATCCAGCTCTAGGGACATAATATTTAAGAATGGAATAACTTAAAAAAATACTTTTATTATATACAAATTATATGCACTATTTTGCAAATAGGATCTAAACTTTCCATAAGTTACCAAAATTAATTACATTGTTTTATAAACTAAATTTTGACAATTTTCTTGGTGACTGTCCGATTCACACATATGGCTTTGCAAAACAATATTTTCGCACAGCTGCCTTGACTCCAGTCACTCAAATGAAATGATGTTTCAGTATGGAAAAGTGAGGTGCTCAGTCTTGATAGCTCCAATTTAAATTTGAGGCTGACCAATTTGCCTCATCAGAAATGTTTAGAAGGCCAGTTAAATAGCTGCCTCAAATAGCCTGGCTATTGGGATGATTTTTGTAAGGCCCTGAAGACCTGGTTTTGCCAATGGGCCTGGAGACTCCAGAGTGGGATGAAGTCCATCAAGTGGTTTATTTGATGGATGGATTGATTGTTGTTGCCAAGAGGGGGGACTATTTTTTTTTATTGTTTTTATATTGAGTTTTTATCTTTTTAAGCTACCCAAACTCACTGAGACTGAGTTGGGCAGCCATATATATTTTCTTAAATAAATGATTAGAAGCAGGTGATATTCCACTTTGGAAAGCTATGTTGAAGGAGTATTTCACTGAAGACTTTATCAAAATAAAAACCCCAGTATAATGCAAAACTTGTGTGTTACATAATTTTTTTAAAAAGTATATCAAATTCAGAAACAACAAATAACAATTTGTTATTTTATAATCTTAAAACATTTTAAAAAATCCTTCACAGAATAACCTAAAAACTGGTGCATGTGCTGGTAGCCTCCAGGCCTAATGCACTATATGTGGGGCTCCCTTTTGTCTACTCTGGACATTTTACAGGTAGTCCTCGATTTACAACAGTTCATTTAGTGACCATTCAAAGTTACAATGGCACTGAAAAAAGTGACATGACAATTTTTCACACTTATGACCGTTGCAGCATCCCCATGGCCACATGATTTACATTTTGGATGCTTGACAAATGACTCAGATTTATGACAGTTGCAGTGTCCCAGGGTCATGTGATCCCCTTTTACAACCTGACAAACAAAGTCAACCAGGAAACCAGATTCACTTAACCATGTTACTAATTCAAGAACAGGCAGTGATTCACTTAACAAATTTCTCACTTAACAACATAAATTTTGGGCTTAATTGTGGTTGTACATTGGGGACTATCTTTATTTGGTACAGAAATTAGAAGTCAGGTTGGTCTCAAGAAGAACACAAAGAGATTGTGTTTTGGTTACCTATTTGTTCCAGGACAAAAAAGAAGAGCCTACATGGATTGGGCCAAAGCTATTTGAGAGAAAAACTTTTTCTAGAGGAAACTCCACAGCTAATCAATCCATCTGAAAATACTTGCCTACTATTGCTGCAATCTATCTGCTGGCATTTGGGGTCAAGCCTTTTATGCTGCTGCTCTAGTTCTTTGAAATGCAGTCTCTTACAGAATTAAAGGATACAACTTATTAATTTTTAAAAACTCCTAAGTCATCTTCTTGAACAGACTTAACAGCTAAGTTAATGGTCAACTTTATCAGTGGATATTATTTGTGTCCTATTTTATTATTTTTTAAATTATTTTAAATTTGGTTTACTATAAACTGCCAAGACACTTTAAAAGTTTATAAAACTATATTAAGTTTAATGAATAATCTCTAAATAGAAAAATATAAGCGGTATGTATTATAGCAGTGTTGGCAAACCTTTTAGGTACTGAGTTCTGAAAAGGGAGCGCGCGTGCGTGCCAGAAACCAGAAGAGCAGCCGTCCAGTGTGAATGCATGCGCCAAGAAGATGATGTTCCGGTTTCCTGCGCATGCATGCGCACCGGGCAGCTGGTCTTCGTGCACGCATGCGCACCAGAAACTGGAAGACTAGGTGGCCGGTGCACATGCACACACTGGAAACCAGAAGATTATCTTCCTGGTGCGCACATGCACACCAGGCGGCTGCTCTTCTAGTTGACGGCACGCCGGAACCTGGAAGAGCAACGGGCGACGGATCGCGTGCCCAGAGAGATGGCTCTATGTGCCACTTCCGGCACGCATTCCATAGGTTCATCATCACAGTATTATAGTTTTTCTTCTGCACCATAATAAGTAATAAATCATTATATTCATCCAGAAATTTGTAATTTTAGGTGCTACACAAACAAGCAATAGTTATGGTATTGGCCGAGGGCGCAGCATGCAAAAGAAACTGAAACGCAAAGATCGTGGAAGAGGAAGAGGAGTAAATAAAGGATCTGAGGAAGTAAGTTAAGTGGAAATGGTTTATTGCATTAAAAATAGTGGTTTTATTAAGCTTAATTCAAAACTGCACTGTACAATGCTTTATTTTTCTTTCAATGGTCTTAGAACTAAGATAACTGCATTATGTAAGTAAAAGTAACATAACTAAGATAAATGTTAACAGTCAGCTGCATTTGCAAAATCAGACTAATACAAATATAATCCTGGTGAGCTTAATAGCAGGAAAATTTGGTTGGAGAGCAGCCAGTGGTTGAATTGTCACTTTTATATCCCTGCTACTTATGACAAAACAATTTTAAAAAATCAGTTTTACTGGGTTTTGATTTTCAAGATATCTTTTTATTGCTTGCTTGTTCATAAAGATGGAATCCTTCTATACAGCTGTACCCAACATTGGTATCTTTTATGATAAGGTTCATATATATGTATGCATGAATGTATGCATGGGAATTGGAACATCTTACCCCTGAGATGAGATTGGCTCCCAACTTTCTGACCTTTCCGTAAGGGGCTGAAGACCTGGCTCCGCCAGATGGCTTTAGGGCTCCAATAAGGGAGCATCATACTAGAGGCGGTTGATGAATAAAGAAGCAATCCTATCTCCCCTCTGCACATCCTGCTCCCTCCCTTCCCATCTTTTAATTTTAGTTCTATTTTTCATTGTAATTTTCATTTTATTGTTTTAGAAATATTTATCTTTTATGACTTAAGTGCTTTTAATTCTGTAAACTGCCCTGAGTTGTCTGAAATGAGATGGGTTGCAAATAAATTTAATAAATAAATAAATGATTAGTTTAACCATGAAATGGGTATTTTATCTTGTCTTTTGACTATTTTGTGTTTGAGTGACCTTTGAGGAATAACCACATTAAAATGGAGATTTGTTTAACAGGAAATGAAGCCAGTAAAGAAATGGCCAACTATGAGTCAGGCATTCATAAACCAGCATACGGTGGAACACAAGGGAAAACAAATTTGTAAATATTTCTTAGAAGCCCGATGTATTAAGGTGAATATATAATTGTATTTTTTTCTTTGAAAAATGTAAGCAATTCATAGATTTTATTGTAGTTAGTTTAAAGTTTAATTATTACATGATTTTACCCTGCCAAATCCATTCATTCTTATGGTAATCAAAAACCAATGGCCATAAAAATTATATCCAGCATTTATTAGATTTGAGGGAACTTTTCATGTATTCAGCATAAATGATACTAGAGAAAATTATTGCTTAGAATAATACAAAGATTGATGCATGTATTTTGTTTGGCCACATTATTTCTAAAATCTTAAATGAACTTTCTTATTTAGTATTGAATATATACGTTCTACTAGTTAGCTCTTAGGTACAGTTGCATCACTGAATATAGCTGCTTTAGCAGTTCCATCAATATGTGAATACGGAGACTGTTGATAGAATGTAATCTATTTTCTAGTTTTATAACCATCTATTTGCAATTCATTTTATCTTTTTAATGTAACATTAATTTTTAATTTTCTTTGAATGGTGGAGTAAAATAAAATAGTATGAAAAGTAAAGTCACTATTGAAATTTATAATCTCTCTTTATGTTACAGGGAGACCAGTGTAAATTTGATCATGATGCAGAAATAGAAAAGAAAAAAGAAATCTGTAAATTTTACATTCAGGGTTATTGTTCCAAAGGAGAAAACTGCATTTACATGCATAATATCCTTTGACAAAAACATTTCAGTCATATTATCATCAAAGCTGAAGTGATCATAGCACTTTAAATGTTCCATTTGTAATAGAATATAGATGTTCCTACGGAGTAGAGGTTTTAAATGTTAGTAAGTAATAGTTTTAGGAATATATTGGTTTTTTTTTCTCTTTTTAAATAATAATATATAGCAATTTTTAGAAACATACAACAAAGTAGAGAAATGATTAATAATGAAACATAAATAAAAGCATTATAGAAAAACTTTTTAGCAGTGCATTCCCTCTTTCTCTTTTATTTATTTCTTTAACCACTGTTTAAATTTGCATAAACTTTGTTATGAACACAATAGTCCTCAATTTACAGTTTATTGTAACAAATGGTTAAGAATAAATTCCTGAGGAATCATGAGAATTGTGGCTGCTTCCAAAGAGGTCCGGGCAGTCATTAAGTGAAGCGCCCGTGATTCCTTCATTGAACCACAAACCCTACTTATTGCGGTTGTTGGCAGGGAAGGAAGCCCTGGAAAGACCTAGGCCCTAGGCCTATTCTGCAACACCTCCTCAACTCACCTGTAGCCTGCCCCAGGTCTCCAAAGGTGTCCCCCATCCAGTCTATGCACTCTATGCTCTACTTCCTGTCACTGGATCCAACACAGTTGGGCCTCCTCTCCCCCTTCTTCATACGAGTTCACTTACCTTTTCCATAAATTACCTATCAGAAGCAGAAGTGGCTGAGCTACCATATGATCCTCTTATACAGAGGTCGCATAGTAGTGTTCAGGAAGTGGTTGCCATTTTGGAAGCGGCCACAATTCTCATGATTCCTCAGGAATTTATTTCAAGCATATGTTACAATAAACCTTTTAAAGGAGGTAATGCCAAAATTATGGGAATTTCACTAGTATCTTAGTTTCCTTAATATTTGATCACATGAATTTCCTTGCAAGTTCTATCATACAGGAGCAAAATGCTATCACGGTGACAAATGTAAGTTTTCTCATGATCCTCTAACTAAAGAGACAAAAGAACTGCTTGATAAGGTAAGTAATGCTATCTAAAGCAAACTTTGTATTTCAAAATCAAACTTTGATCTAAATCAAACTTTGTAATAAGAAATGCTTCCAGTTTTTCAAAAAAGCTAAATAAGTTGATAGAGAATCAGTTGCATGTGAAGTGCACCTGAACAACTGAAAAACAGAACTTTTTTTGTTTTTCCTGTAAACTCTGTGCTACAAAGCAACAAATCAATTTATATATTTTAGTGGAAGATTTTTGGCCTAACCTTTTATTAATACATTTAAGGGGACTACAACTACTCAGAAAATCTAATCTGTTTCAAAGTGTTCTCTTTGTTTTTTCTATTACACATCAGATACCTAATGAAGGAGAATAGATTACGCTTTTCTAAAAAAAAGATCATAATATCCTTTAGTTACCATTTTTTTGTCTTTTGTAACATGTACGCATAAGCATATTAAAGAATCTATAGTGTTGTATGTAAGTTCATGTATGCATATGAAATGCGCATACAGATGTGCCAAACAGATGTGAAATTGGAAGGGAACTAGGATAATTCCCTATGCGAGAGGTAATCCTCTCACACAAAGCAGACTTGCTTCTGGTTCTTTGCTTGTGCCTATTGATTGAAGAACAAAACATATTCGTATTCAGTTGAACTTGGCGTGAGGAGGGGTAGTGTGCATTCAGCAGGTTATTCCTTCTCTTTACCTCCAGATTTTGGGGGGAGGGGCATTTTGAATTTGTGATGTATGAATCCACTCTTTCCATGTAAAGAAGAATAAGTATAATTGTTGAATTCTAATCAAATAGGAAACTACTTGAGAAATTGTTTTCTTATGAAATACCCTATTCCTCCCCAGTTAGAAGAGAATAGAATAATTGGGTTGGAAGGGACCTTGGATGACTTCTAGTCCAACCCCCTGCACAAGCAGGAGACCCTATACCATTTCAGACAATTGATTGTCCAATCTCTTTAAAAGTCTCCAGTTGTTCTGCCCCAGCTCCGGATTTCCAAGGATATTGACACACACCAACAGTCCTTATCAAATTTATTAAGTAACAAGAATAAACAAGACCGGCAAAGGTTGGCAACCAGCCCAGAAAACAAGATATGATAAACCAAAATACTCTGATAATAAATACGAGTTGGTTCTAGCAAGAAACTTACTAACAGCGTGTGACTTAAATAGGCTAAGGGGCCAATTATCCTCAAGCCTTACTCTCGAGGAGACCTCCTCCTCCTGAGTAGCCACTCCTGCCTTTTGGCAGCCCTGCACGCTCGAGCATTGAGGAGAGGCTCCTCCACATCGCTCTCTCCACTTGAAGGAGCCTCTGGAGGTTCTGAAGGCCCTGGCTGAGTCTCTGCCTCTGGCACCACATCCTCTTTAGCCTCCTCGCTGTCCGACGTGAGCACTGGCTGCGCAGGCTGCTGGTGCGACACCACACCAGCCTCCTCTTCGTCAGGATCAGCCACGATCCGCGCAGGCCACAACACCAGTGTTGGAGCATTCACAACTTTGGGAGGCAACTCCTTCCACTGATTAATTGTTCTAACTATCAGGAAATTTTTCCTTAGTTCTAGGTTGATTCTCTCCTTGATTAGTCTCTATCCATTGCTTCTTGTCCTGCCTTCCTGTGCTTTGGAGAATAGATTGACCCCTTGTGGCAGCCCCTGAGATTTTGGAACACTGCTATCATGTCACCCCAGTCCTTTTCATTAAACTAGACATACCCAATTCCTGCAACAGTTCTTCATATGTTTGAGCCTCCAGTCCCCTAATCATCTTTGTTGCTCTTCTCTGCACTCTTTCTAGACTTTCACCATCTTTTTTATATCATGGTGACCAAAAGTGGATACAATATTCCCAAGTGCGGTCTTACCAAGACATAAAGTGGTATTATATAAAGTTTTGGAACATAGAATAGAATAGAATAGAATAGAATAGAATAGAATAGAATAGAATAGAATTCTTTATTGGCCAAGTGTGATTGGACACACAAGGAATTTGTCTTGGTGCATAAGCTCTCGTAGTACATTAAAAAAAAATACATTCATCAAGAATCATAACATTCTCTTAATTCTAAGAATTTGAATGGTGGTCTGTAAAATTAAGTTTGAAAAAGGAACGGAAAGTTTTCATAACGTCATGCACTCATTTCTTTCCCCCTCGCCCAGTAATTTTCACATGAAAAGGTACAGGACAGACAGTAGCTAAAAAAGAACTGTTTATTGAAAATATTCCACATAGAAATTATAAATGCCACTACTCCGCTTCTGCTATGTCATACCTTACTCCTTCAGGAAAATCATGGAGCAGGAGAAACTGGGCAGCATGGAAATGACCTTTAAAATGACTCTAAGTATTGTTTGTTTAGTGCTGGTTTTGTCCTGTATCTTCTGTTTTGGGACATGTTGGAGAAAGCTGATTAGCTGTTCTTTCAAGGTGCTCCTTCTGTAAGATCTAGCTTCAAAGCAGCTGGATGATAGATAGAGGTGGAATAGTACTTTGTCTCTTGCCGTGTATAGTTTAATTCATGGGCCCAGTACTATTCTGTACTCCAGTTTAGACTAAATTATGCCTAAAATTTTATTAAATGTTCATAGACATGAATTTTGAAGAAAGACTTCAAATTAATAAGTACTGATTTTTTAATGTTGTCATAGTTTTGAAGTATTCTAATTTAATCTGAGATATATAGAACAGGTATCAGAGATCTCAATAAGTGCTTTTGCCATTAACTTCTAGAATAATTGCCAATAGCCCATGTATTCTGATTATATTCTAATGTGATTTTAGGTACTAAATACTGAAGATGAGCCTCAGAATGATGATGAAAAAGAAGTGGAAGAACTTAGAAAACGTGGCATAGTTCCTCTTCCTAAGCCACCTCCAGGAGTTGGGCTTTTGCCCACCCCACCAGAGCCATATTCATTTATGGAGGAAGATGCAGAAAACTTTCAGGATCCCTCTGGTGAATTCAAGAAAATTCCGTCTCTCTTTGAAATAGTTGTGAAACCTACTGTGGATTTAGCACATAAAATTGGGAAAACGTAAGTCTAGTAATTAAAACTATGCATGAAATTTTAATGAGGAACTTTACCGCATTACCGCATCCTGTTAGGGCAACTATTTCCCTCTCACATTTTGGTGTAGCTGTACATGTATATGAATTGTAGAATCTACTCTATTGTATAGAGTAATCTGGCATCAAAGAAAACATATTGAATAGTAATCTTAAAAAACACAATTTGGGGAAGATTGCATACATTGCCATTTGCAGATTTTTTTTACATAGTACTGCTTGTCAACTGTTTCTGAATCTAATATTTTTACACAAATATACCTGACCTGGCTTTTTGTTTTACAGTCCACCAGCATTCTATAATAGTACATCACCCCCTGGACCAGAGTTTGAAGGAAATGATCCACACATGTATAACACAGAATCAAGTCCAGGACATAATGGACCAACAGGGCACCCAGGTTCTCCTGGTCATCCCTGTATTGGTCCAGTGGTGCCACATAGTCCACCTTTGCAGCCAGTTCCTGCAGGATACTTAGGAGCACAAGGCCAAGCTGGTGGACCTATGCATGGAAATCAGGGTGGCCCACCTTTAACACCACCTGGTGTGTCATACAACTGTGCAGTTGCTCAAGAACATATGGCAAACATGCCCAGAGACAATCACTGCCCACCTGGTCCACCATATCAGCACATTCCTAGTGAACGGCAGCCAAATCCTGCATATGAGACTCTTCAGAATCCAGCTAATTTCTATGATAACTACTATTCACATCAGGCTGTGCATAATTTCCAAACAACCAATAATGCTAATGGTAAGTTTTAATTTATAAAATTGTTTCATTTTAGTTCATCACTCTGAACTGAACAATCTTATCTGTTGATAGTCAACCAAGTTTTTTGCAAGCATTCAGTATCCAAAGTTGAGAGTTAAGTGTGATGTGGCTAAGAGGATAAGCATTAAAGCCTCATCTCTAGAATTCTTGGGAACTATACAGGCATTTCTCAAGATCTTTATACACTGAGTTCTGGTTTTTTAGGTTTTGAGGGGTTGGTGATAGTAGGGAAAGAGTATCCACATATTCGTCTACTTTCAAGTTTTTCTGCAATCAGGAATCCCATCTTGCTAAGCTTTAGTTGTAGGGAAGTCTGTAAATAAATGTATCTTAAGGACACTTCTTAAATCTCTTGAAATTATAGGAACTATAATCTATGAGTAAATAAGTTTAAAAGTTACCAGTTTGGGGTGAATGCTTGCAGATAGCTTGTCTTAATCCTTAATTAAAGATATATATGTAAGTGTTTTCAAAATGCATGTACTATGAAAACTTATGAAAGGAAAAGTGTTGTAATCTATATATTCTGTTTGGAACAGTTTCACCTCTTTCTAGAATTTTTGTAAGTGGGATCTGGAACATCTTGGATAAGTGTATTGCATGTATTATAAGTTCACTTGTAACGGGGGGGGGAGTGTGTATTTAAGACATTCTTGACTCCTGGCAAATGCAGTTTTCTTGGTAAGATTAATTGGCAAGTGGCTTGCCATTGTCTTCTTCCTAGGGCTAATAAATTATTGACTTAAAGCTGGCTTAATGCGTAAGGCAAGATATAGAATTGTCTCCCTATTTTTAGCCTATTGTCCTAAACCAAAGGTGTTCAAACTCGATTGCATCACGTGACGTATTGTGACTTTTTTGCCTTTGTGGAGCCGGGATGGGCATGGCCTGCATGTGATGCATCTGGCCCGTGGCCCACCAGTTTGACACCCCTGCCCTAAACCATTACATCAAACTAGATCTCATCTCATATTATGTATACATTTATATTTTCCTAAAGGAGTATATTGCAATGATTCATTTCTGTTCAGGAGCCTATCATTTCTGCCTCAGCAAGTAAAATGTTAGTCATTAGCTTTCCTCATGCAGAACACTAGCCTGCTTCCACAGTCCTTTGGAAGGGGATGTGTGCCTGCTTGGGTGCTACTACTTTGAACTGAAAAGCTGGTAGAAAGTGAAGTAATGATGGCTTAGGAATCACTCCTTAAAGACATCCTTGAGAACACCGGGCTCTTCTGTATAAGAGCCAATTTTTTAAAAAGTTCATTTGGTTTAGAGTACTCTAGATATTTTCCCTGCACAATTATCAAGGAGCCCCAAACTACCATCTGTTTTGGAGGAACTATCACACTATACTTGATTTTATAGTCGGTTTATTAAATGATACTAAATAACTTTTAAAGTCATAATAAACACTAATTATTTGTAATACTTAATGCAGATGCTACATGGCAAGGAGACTTTACAGAACACCAGTCTTACATAAATTCTTCAGATTCACATAACAGTGGAAATGAGTATGAATCAGATTGTGCCACTACAGCAGGACACAATTCAGCTATGAATGTACCTGATTTTCTTCCTGCAATGCAGAAAGCCCTTTTTGTAAGGCTCAGTCAAAAACATCAAGATGATGGAGAACAGATGAGCAATCAGTGTCAAAGGTCACTGAGTAGAGAAGAAGGTATTTTCAGATTGTGCATTTGTCAAATACAATACTATATTGTATGTTGTTTCTTTTTCAGATATCGGAATACTTTACTGTATTCTTCCCTTATATTTACTATATTCATTGTAATTTTTATTAAGCTCACCATTTATTTCATAATCAACTCCCAATTGGTCCAAGAGAAGAGGGTTCTGTGGCTGAATCTCTCATGAAAAGCATGCACGTGTCTGCTATAGAACAGTCATACAGATAGACTGATTGAGTCCCCCTTACATGTTAGCATAACATTGAGCTGTATTTTTCTTTTTTCATAAATTTTATTTTCATTATAAGATAAAAAATACAGAAAAAAACAAGTTAAATTTTAAAAAGTGCAGAGAGGAAAAAGTGGTAACATTCAGCTTTTTTCATTGCAGTAAAATATACATACACAAACACACGTGCGCGCACACATATACACACACATACACTTTACCCTTTTGCTTTACATTTCATAACATTTCAGACTATTTCTATAATTACAAAATCATTCTAATGATTTAAAATTTCATTTATTTCAGTTCCAAGAATAAAGTTAAGAAACAGTTTCCAAATAGAAACAAAAGTACAGTATTTTTTGGATGATAAGATGCACCGGAATATAAGACGCATCTTAGTTTTTGGGGAGGAAAATAAGAAAAAAAGCTGATTGGCGGGCCTCCCGGAATACCCCCAATCAGCTGTTCCCAGAGGTGAACTTTAGCAACAGGTTTGTTGGTTGTGAGCTCTGTGCCTTGGTTTTTTTTCCAGCCTCTGAAACCTCCATTTCAGAGGCTGGGTGGGGCTACATTCGGTGTATAAGACGCACCCAAGTTTTCACCCTCTTTTAGGGGGGGGAAAGGTGCATCTTATACTCCATAAAATATGGTAGATAAATTCTCTTTTTAATTAAAACAGTCAGTTTCCCCATCTCTGATAACTCCCATCACCCGCGTACTCTTCTATTGTGGACACTAGTGTATCTTTTTATGAGCCCTTTTGCTAATGGCTAATAAAAATTGATACATTCAGAATACAGTTATGCAACACCACCCACAAATAAATTGTCTGAAATTTTACAGGATTTTGGTGATCTTAAGACCCTAGTGATACTCTGTTTATACTGCCTTTATTATTTTTTAAAATAATTTTAGGCACCAAACATACATAATAATGCTTCCTTCTTCTATTTTCCTCACAAAAATAAACCTGTGAGGAGGATTGGGCTGAGAAAGAGTGACTGACCCAAGGTCACCTAGCTGGCTAATCTTCTATAATAATAATGTTTTAAAAATTACAACGTTTTTGTTTTTAAATAAAATAAAATTTTAAAATAAAATATTTTAAAATATTTTTTTAAAAATTTGGAGTTATGCAGGGGGTGTTCTGGATTTCTTATATACTTTTAGCACTTCAAAAGTGCTTAAAATCCAGAGTGAGATATTATCTAAACAGTTATATAGCCTCAATGTTTTTTAAAATGTTTACCCTTTGACAGTTTTAGAGTTGAATTTTGCTGATTGCAAGATGAAAGGTTACACAGGTATACAGCTAAACCATTTATCTTCTTGTTTTTATACTCTGTCATTTTAATAGAAGCTTAAAATTTCACGTTTGCAGCTTTTATTAATATGAAATGATAAGAATCTTATTTTAGACAATATATAGCATGTTCCTGAGATTTAATTATCTCTTTTTTCCTTTTAGATGATAATGTAAATTGGTACTCTAGTAGTGAAGAAGAAGAAGGAAGCAGTGTTAAATCCATACTGAAGACCCTAAAAAAACAAAGTGAAACATTTCGAAGTCAGCAGTCAGCAGATCAGCAACTGCGTGTTATGCCAGTTGACCCGAGACTTGCTAAGGAACGTGGTTCAGGAAACCAGGCTGTTGATCCAAGACTCAGATCAGCTTCAAGATCAAGTGCTAGGAAATCATCAGAATCAGGAGTCTTGGACCCAAGGCTTGCACGAGATCCAAGAACCTTAAAGGGTAATGAAAGCAGTCATGGAAGCTCCTCTACTAGTGGAGCAAAACTGGATGTGCATTATCCACAGCCTGTTGTCAAGATCATGCAAAAAGGATTGGATGAAGATGATGAAGATGCTGAAAGAGAGTTAAGAGACAGAGCTTTTCTCATACCATTGGAACCTCTTCCTGGAGTAACATTACGAGATCCAAGATCTCAGCTTAGACAGTTCAGCCATATTAAAATGGACATTGTTCTAAGCAAACCCAATTTTGCTAAGCATATTGTATGGGCTCCTGAAGATTTACTCCCAGTACCTTTGCCAAAACCAGATCCAGTATCTTCAATCAATTTACCCCTTCCTCCACTTATAGCTGACCAGCGATTTAATCAATTAAGGAATAGCAAAAATGATTCTATCCTAAGTACGGTTCCATCTGATCCACGACTAGCAGCAAAAGCAAAAAATAATATAAATTTAGCAAACAGGAGTGGGTCTTTGGAGCACTCTACAGATTTGCATCTTGGTAATACAAATAAACTAGGAGATCCTCGCTTACAAAAATCCACTGATCCCAGGCTGCATAGACTATCCAGTACAGACTCCCATCATGGAACGGTGAAGGATCTTTTGCCTTCAAAAACTGATCCTAGATTGGCCAGATCCAGCACTAGTACATCACAGTCCTCGGAAGCTGCAATCTTCCAGTCTGACTCAGATACATTGCCTCCATATGCACCTAAGTTGTCGTCTGCAAGTTCCAAACTAGGCACTTCTAGTTCAATAATAAGTGGCATTAGTTTGTATGATCCAAGAAATCATACTTCATTGGATTCTTCTCCAGTTAATTCTGGAGAGAATGGAGAAAACCAGAAAAAGGGTATTTTGAAAAACACTGGTCAGAATGAAGTAGCCACCTCAGAAGAACAGTTGCCTCAAAAAGTTTCCCTGCATGTAGAAAAACATGTGGAAGCATTTGGGGAAACCAATTCAGAGAAAGTAGCTAATCTGAATAAATCTCAGGCTAAACACTCCAGTTCTGCTCCAGCGGTGCACAACCTTCCTATCCAAGCTTTATCAGGGTTAATCAGACCACAATATAGTGATCAGAGGCAAGTAAGGCAGCCTGGGCAGATCACTCCAGCACTAGAAAATGATCCAAATGGGGAATCGGATGACAAATCGCTGAAAGATGTTTTCAAGACTTTTGACCCAACTGCTTCACCTTTTTGTTAGCTAATTGTTAAGATTTTTTACCATTGTGAATAATGCCGGTTTCCACAGTTTTGTAACTGGGTTTACCTCTATGCTTTATTTATTTTTAAATTATAACCAGAAATACTTTGGGGCTGCTATTTTCAGAACCACATGCAGTAATACTATAGTGTTTGCCAATTTGGTATTTTCTATATAAGTTTCCCATTTCAGGGATATGAATCATTGATCCGTTTAAATAAAAGTATATATCATGTTAGGTCCGAGAGAAGCACTTTCATTGTAAATCATCATTAAGGGATTCAATTTAAAGACTTGTATATGTGTAATGTGTCTTTTCAAAATCAGCATTTTATGTTTGCCACTTTTGTATGATTGTACAGTTTCAAGCAATATAATGTATATTACTATGAAAAACATTATTTAAGATGATAATTATCTAATCTTCTTAAGCCCAACTTGCTAAGCATTTGACACAGGGCAACATTTTTTACTCATGAAACTGATATTCTTAGCCTAAAAAATACTGTATTACATACTGAGGAGCGGAATAAACTTTTTAAAGTATTTTATTCTATGCTGTATATATGCAAAGGACATAACTAAAACATTATTGTTAAAATAGAAAACACCTAGGTCTATAAAATGTATTTACTTTTTCATGTATACCCTATTCTCTATTGTGTTATGTCACATTGTGGTGTTCATGTATTCAATGTATTTTTGTATTCAGCTACTTAATTTGTATTGCTTTTTTGTATTGATGTAATGACAGTAACATGTATTCATGTGTCTGGCATTTTTAACAAATTAAAAGAGTGAAATCTCTGACTTTCCACAGACTCATGTGGTTTCCTTAGATTTGAGATTTCATGAACAGAGAATTTCATGAATTTCTGCTGTAATTCTGATTTCTTATGTTGCCAGCTACCTCTGGTGAAGACCATTTCAAATAATCTCCTCGCCAAAATATTACAGCTGAATTTTGATCTTGCAAAAATCAAAAGCTTCACTTTTGCAAGTCATCGGTGAGCAGCATAAAGTAATTGGGGCAAATGATTGAGAAAAAAGCTCACTAAGCAAACTGAATAAATTGTGTGAGGTGGGGTTGACATCCAAATGCTAAACATTGAGATGCAAGCATTAAACTTATGAGGAAATACGAATTCTATGGAAGTCTCTTAGGTTTCTATCAGGGTTAGCACCCTATCAGGGTTAGCAGGTTCCCCCAACATCAAAATTGCAGGTGTGATCAAGCAACAAACCCCATTCATTTTAAAATGTGCAATTGACTTCCCTGCCCCACCCAATATCTACACCTAGGCTTAATGGCAGCTGTTGGATGAGAATAAGCAAGCCAATAAAACAATAGTTTTTTTATAACTATAATCTCTGTATTTTAAAAAATAATCTAAGGTGCATTGTGTCAGCCAATGTAGTTAACAGTGACTTTCAGAAATTCTGAAGTATTCTCCAGGACATCTGTTTCTTGGAGTCTTAGGCATACAATGTTATATTTACAGGGGTCTCTAAAGTAAAGAATATATTTTACTAAAACAACTCTATTAAAGGTTAAAACAAGCTGATATTTATATTAATTTAGCATTCATGTTATATCGGCATCAAGGCTTATAAAAACATTTGTCACATCCATCTGAGGCATAAGAAGAAACTAGCTGTCCATTCGAAACAGATGGCCTTTCCATAAATTATCTCACATTTTTCTGAGTCAATTATTTTATAATTCATTTCTCAGGTATGACATGGAAAGTAGCCTGACATACTAATTTCATTCCCAAATCATGTTAGAAACTAAGCAAACCAAGTTTGATTAGTACAGGGAAATAGGCTAGACTGCTAATTCAACAGACATCCTGAAAGAATGTAAATAGTAAACTAACAGGTTTCCAGAGATGAAAGGGCCTGGTGGCTCAGCAGACTAAAAGCATTGTGATTAACACCAGCTGTCTGCAATTACTGTAAGTTCGAATCTCACCAGGCTCAAGGTTGACTCAGCCTTCCATCCTTTCTAAGGTAGGTAAAATAAGGACCCAGTTTGTGGGGGCAATAAGCTGACTATATAATTATACAAAAGTATGAAGGCTATTGCTTAACGCATTGTAAGACGCCCTGAGTCTCCGGAGAAGGGCGGCATATAAATCAAATTTTAAAAAAAAACAGAAGAAAACAAAATGGGTATCAGAAAAAAAAACTAGAAATTGCTGAGAAGAGAAAAAAAATATCTTAAAAGGAACTTAGTTTCAGAGAGCCTGATAGAAGAGACAGGAAGCAACATTACAATATGTAAAATATAAGATGGAAACAGACATGGAAAAAAACAGCAGGTTATGGTTTAAGGTACGTTAAGGATAGGGGGTGCGTGGTGACTCCGGTTAGTTGCTGAGTTTGTCAGCTAGAAAGCTGACAGCCCAGGTTTGAGATCCAAGTGATGCATGATGGCATGAGCTTCTGTTACTTGCCTCAGCTGCCAACTTTGCAGTTCGAAAGCATGCAAATGCAAGTAGATGAACAGGCACTGCTGGGGGGAAAGTAATAGCGTTCTGTGCACCTCGGCATATAGTCATGCTGGCCACATGACTATGGGAATGTCTTTGGATAACTCTGGCTCCCTGGACCAAGAAACAGATAGTTCTGTCCCCTAGAGTCAGAAACAACTGGACAGGGAAAACCTTTACCTTATAACATCAACATCCAAGATACCTTACAAGATAGTCCCAATTTACAATGGATGTGAAAAAGACTACACACCCCTGTTAAAATGCCAGGTTTGTGCAATGTTAAAAAAAATCAAACCAATATAAATCACTTCAGAATTTTTTCCACCTTTAATATCACATAAACTGTCCACTTTAATTGAAAAAGAAACAAATCTTTTAGGGGGAAGAATAACAAAAAAATATATACAATAATGTATAAGTGTGCACACGCTTTAATTCTTTCTTGAAGCATTTTTTGATTTTATGACAGCATTCAGTCTTTTGGGATAGGATCTTACTTTGGGAATCTTTGCCAAGATTTTGGAGTGATAGCTAATGCTTTAAGAATTAACCATCAGCAGTAAAGAAACATGCAGTCAACAAATATGTCACAGAGTGGTACTTGGTAGTGCCACCATGAAAGCCTTGGAAAAGATACTCAAATGCTGTGATGTGTCCACCTACCAAGGTCAAGATCATGCAAGCAATAATATTCCCTGTGACATTCTATGTAAGCAAAAACTAATAGAGACAAAAATAAATGTTCCTATGGGTTATGGAAAGCAGAAAACATGTTACATCTAGAAGCTCATTTCTTCGAATTCAATCCTCTTTGTCCAAATCATGCGAGGTAGAGATCATAGGATCCAATAGAAAAGAATACAAGTAGTTAAAGACTTGAATTGTGTTGTCTTTGGTGCTCTCTTAGCTCCCTTAGCTCTTTTAGCTCCCTTGTGTGCTTGCAGATGCTTCATTACCCAACTGGTAACAACATCAAAGAGCACCAAGGACTCCAGAGAACATAGGACTTGGCAGTCAATAAATCTGGAGGGAAATCAGTGGGATGAAACTGTCTTAGATAACATGTTTCCTTACTCATCCTAACTCCCTATTTTAATGCTATTTTTTCTAATTGTGCTTAAGCTTTATACCTTCAGTAGTTTCATCATACTGGCAGACCTCACTTAATGACCAAAATTGGGATCAGCAGCTCCATTGTTAAGCATGGGAAATCATGTGACTGTGCTTTCCTTTTTCCTACTCCTCCACTCTCTGGACTGCTCATAGCACTAATGGGATAATTAGCAAGAAGAAGGGAATGTTTCTAGTTACATTGATTGGAGAGAAGGATTGAAAGGAATGTGGCTGAAACCATGAGTATGCTAGGCAAACAATCAGGTGTATTCCTGATGGTGTGCCAGCTTAGTCTCTTGTATTCCCTATTGCTCCACTCTACCAGGGAGAAAAAAAAAGAAAAACAACAGGTCAGGACAGAGGGCAACATATAGTGGCTATAATGGCAATCACGTGACTGGGGATGCTGCAAAGGTTATAAATGTGGGCATTGGTTCTAAAGTCATTTTTTCAGCATCGTTATAATTTTGAATGATTGTTGAATGAAGCAGTTGCTAAGTGAGGACTACCACTATCTGTATGTAGAGGGACTGGACTATTTATTGCTATTATAATGAAGTTCCAAGATCACAGAGGTGAAAGTGGGCTGGGCCACAGTTCTGTTTTGCAGAGTCCCAACTCCTCTTTGTCTGAATTCAAACTTTCCTTGGCCCCATACCAACGAAGATTCTTCCTCCATTGGCTGCAAAATGTAGCTGTATTTGATTCTTCTGTATCAGGGGATGGGTGTTGCAAACCCTGAAGGAGGGGAAATCAGAAAAATGTTACACAGTTTTAACATTAAAACGGTTCATGGCAAAATATTTTAGAGTTAAAAAACCTTAAAACCCTTAAAAAACTTTCCATCAACCCTTCCAAGACTGAGTGGCTGTGGCTCCCGGCATCCCGATATAGTCAGTTGACTCCATCACTGACTATTGGGGGCGAGTCATTGGCCCCCACAGAGAGGGCTCGCAATCTGGGAGTCCTCCTGGATATGCAGCTGTCCTTGGAGGAACATCTGACGGCTGTAACCAGGGGGACCTTTTATCAGGTTCGCCTGATTCGCCAGTTGCGGCCCTTTCTTGATCGGGATTCCCTGTGCACAGTCACTCACGCCCTCGTCACCTCTCGCCTTGACTATTGCAACGCTCTCTACATGGGGCTCCCCTTGAGGAGCACCCGGAGGCTCCAGCTGGTCCAGAACGCAGCAGCGCGGGTAGTGACGGGAGCAGCATGGCGCTCCCATGTAACACCGCTCCTGCGCGAGCTGCACTGGCTCCCAGTTGTCTTCCGGGTGCGCTTCAAGGTGTTGGTTATCACCTTTAAAGCGCTCCACGGCATAGGGCCTAGCTATCTTCGAGACCGCCTGCTGCTACCAACGACCTCCCATCGACCCGTGCGCTCCCACAGAGAGGGCCTCCTCGGGGTGCCATCAGCCAGACAATGTAGGCTGGTGACCCCCAGGGGGAGAGCCTTCTCTGTGGGGGCTCCCACCCTCTGGAATCAGCTCCCCCCAGAGATAAGGAGAATCCAAGACCTCAGTGCCTTCCGTCGCGCCCTTAAAACCCATTTATTTAAACAAGCCGGGCTGGCTTAAGATGAAATTTTTAACTGTTTTTAAATGTTTTAAACGTTTTTAATTGGCAAATGAGTTTAATTGGGCCAAATTTATATATCTTTTAATTGTTTTTAATATTTGTTCTGCATGTTTTTTAATCTGGCTGTACACCGCCCTGAGTCCTCAGGGAGAAGGGCGGTATAGAAATCCAATATAAAATAAAAAAATAAATAAATGTTTGGGAATTGAGAACACTTATCAAAATTCAAGAATACCTACAAGGGAGATTTTGATCGCTGCAGCAATATTGTGGAAAGGGGAGAAGTGAACTCATTGTCTTCTATATCTAAGGTCCTCCTTCAGTTCCAAACCTATTTGTAATTCCTTCTGAATAATTATTATCTGATTATTTAATTTATAGTCTGAATATCCTCCAAAGACACAAGGTGGCATACAGTACATAGTTCTTCCTCCTTTGATCTGGTATCAAAGCTTGTGAGCAAGGGTTAGGCTATGGCAGTGTTCACTTGACAAGCTTAGCCCATGGTTACTGTGTACCACAAACCATCTATTGGACTGCATTATTTACAGAGCAATGGATCCACACTTATAGGAAATAGCATATATAATATGATTTATATTAAAAATGGAGCCCAAACATACACTGGAATATTTATTGCCCTTTTGCTATATTGTGCTAACCCTAACTCTGAATAGAAATGGAGCAGACATAGATAAAAGCCTGTCAGGTTGGAGGTTAGATATTTATATTAGCTTTATCCAGTCTGGCACTTTCCAAATGTATTTCCCACTAGCTGAGAAATTCTGGTAATTGCAATTGTCAGAATGAGGGGGTGCTGCCAAGTATGGAAGATTTATTTGGACTTTCAAGATCACATTAAGATCTGCTACATAATACATTCTGAAGAATACTGCATTTTACTCACTTTGACACAAGCTGCTTCTGCTGCCATAAACATTTGAAGAACTCCCTGGAAGAGATTTTGAGCATTGCTTACAAGGTGTTCCACAGACGATCTACTGCTACCTGTTGATGCAATTACCCTAGGATGTAATGACAGAAAACATTATGTAACACCTGAAGGACAAAAAAGTGTAACAAGAAAAATAGATTCAGTTACAGGAATCTTGACAGCTAAATACTTCCACTTCTAAACACATATCTTTGAGTTTGTTAGGGCAAACTTTCTTTATTGTTTTATAAATAAACCTTTGTTGAGCAGAAGAATCAGCTAACTGCTTCCAAATAATAGAAAACTGTGCAGATGTTTTGAAGTTCCCACGTTTTCCAAACTTCCTTTTCCCAGATACTGAGAAGATCACAACATATGTAGTTATTTAGCACTAAACAATTAAAACATTCTAATGAGGATTGAGCATGCTCAGCTATGTTCATCTGATTTGGGATGGGGCACAGAATAAAGAAAATGGAATTTGCTAGAAATAGGCTGACTGGTTAGAAACTTTTTTTGCAGGTTTCACAATCGATTATTATATTGAAAAGTTCACTTTTTATGAGATGAATTTAAATTTGATCATGAATTGGAAACTGAAATCAATGGGATCTATGTTAAATTATGTCTAATTTAAGTCTCATTAATTTCAGTTTAGCTATTCTAAGAGTCATTTATAAATATAATTATGATACTAATTTGAAACCAAATTTAGTTGAACTAAAAGGCTACATACAGGTAGTCTTTAACTTACAACCACAACTGGGACTGAAATTTCTGTCAATAATCAAGGTCAAAAGGTCAAAAGGGCGTAGATTGGGGAAACAGGCAGGTGAGGAGGAGTTGAAATGTCCCTGTAGTTGTAAGTGTGAGAAAGCTGCCAAGCACCTGAATTTTGATCACAATTGCTGGGATACTGCAATGGCTGTAATTTCAGGGACCAGTCATAAGTCCCTTCATTTAACACCATTGTAAATTCATGTGGTCCCTGAACAAATGGTTGTAAGAGAACTATCTGTAAATTAACGAGACAAATCAGGTATTTCACTCGAATTACTTTAAGTTCAGTGAAAATTAAGTGCAACTAACAGTCTGGATCCAAGGTAATTCAAAGATGTTTTCCGGCTGCCTTAAAAAATCAGCACTTATTTAATTTCATTGAAACAAATTAAAAAAATAGAGATTGGTGGCACAGGTCTCCAATACCACTTCTCTCTGTGGTGAAATTCAATTTTTTTTACTACCGGTTCTGTGGGTGTGGCTTGATGGGCGTGGCAGGGGAAGGATACTGCAAAATCTCCATTCCCACCCCACTCTGGGGCCAGCCAGAGGTGGTATTTGCCGGTTCTCCGAACTACTCAAAATTTCCACTATCGGTTCGCCAGAACCTGTCAGAACCTGCTGAATTTCACCTCTGTTCTCTCTGCACCATTCAATGCCTTCCACATTCTTGGATTACAACTCACATATTCTCCAACTATTAGCCTATGTTGCTCTGAGCTGCTGAAGATCATTTTGAATCATGTCATACTACAGAAAGGGCAGTACATTGGCACTAGAAGGAAAAAAATATGGATATAATTTGTTTCATTTTGCAAGGAAAAATTATTTCAAAAATCTAGTTACCGGGTAATGATGCTAAGTTGATAGTTAATTGTTTTGGTTTTCTCCAAGGCACACAGCAGTTCAGCTGCACATCTTTCATTTAAGCAATCCTTTGTAATTCTGCCAGCAAATTTCACCAGTGCTTCCCCTTCAGCAATAACTTGAATAGCAGTGGCAATGACTTCTTCTTTGGTCTAAAAAAAAAAGCAGTTATAAAAAAACAGGAGTGAATGAACATTATCTAACTCTCCATTAATACATTTCTACTTTTCATCTGAAGAACTCAGGTCTATGGCCTGAAGCTAGTTTATGCAACAGATATACTCCAACAGTACCTCTTTGATCATGTGGCCAGGATACTGCATTTCTCTGAGATTAAAAAAAACAACAGTAACTTCCTACATCTAGAAAGCTAGGAAACCAACAAGAATAGGCTGAACTGCTCTTGATATGAAAGGCAATAGATGAAATCTCATAGCTACACGAAAACTCAGTCTGAAAGTTTGCTATATAGAGTTCTTGTGGGAAAAATAGGAAAAGGGAGCATATGTATGCTGTCTCGTGTTGTACAAAAAAAGTAAGACATAGGCAAATGAGTGGTCTGCCATTGTAAAGGCAATATCAGAATGAGCTGAGATGGTAATGAATGCTAACAAGAAAATGTTTCTTCAGATATCTTCAAAATTAAAGATTTAGTATGTCAGTTACTCAATGAAGACATTAAAATGTTAACAGATAAAATAGAAACTGGATGGAATTATTTAGTTCCTATTCTGGCTCAGTGTTCCACTATAAAGTTTGAAAACCAGAATTACAAGGTGGAACTGAAGTTTGAGATTGACAGAAAATGTGATGAGCATAAAGCTAAAGCAACATGACTAGTGGTCTCATCTCTCCCCCACCACCTGGGAAATAAATAAATCAAATTCAAGATAAATGATAAACCCTAACTTATCAAAAATAATAACAGCGATAGGCTAGATTAGTGTTTCTTATAGTGGTCCAGTGTTCCTTATAATATCTCAGAGGTCCACAAAATCAAAATTATTTGCCAGATTGTGAAGATATTTTCAAATATTTTAAATATTTTAAAAATAAAATAAAAATATGAGTCGTTACAAGTTTTGTTAAAAAATATATGCTTTTTCATGAAAAATATGTTGTTTATGTCAATATCTAATGAGTTTAATATAGTTACGTTTACATGAGTCAATAGGTAGGTTTTATACAAATGCATCAATTCTAATTTTAATATAGTAAACACCAATAAATATAATCCATAAAACAAATGCTCTTTTGGGATCCTTTGTAATTTTTAAAAGTGGGAAGGGGCTCAAAGGTCAAAAAAATTAAGAAACCCTGGGATAAATAAAGCTCAATTGGAAAAGCAATACACACAATGCTTTTGGCAGACCACAGGATGGTGCTGGTACATCATATTTAGTGATCATGGAAAAGAAACACTCCACAAGAAATTAATAAAGTGTAAGTAAATATTGAACTCAATCTGACATTGCCCAGAATATCTTATTTGAACAGAAAAACAGGAATGAGAGAGAATGACGTTTTTAACACATCTTCTGAAAAAAGAAATAAAAAGTTTAACGTAGACTTTTGGCTAGATTTTATCTATTTCTACTAAAATAACCTGATTCCTGACATTATATCACCTACTTTTTCCCCCTGGATGATCTAACCAACTTCTTGGAGAAATTCCAACTATTTCTCAGTTATTGGGGAGCTGCTACACCCATCTTACTTCATATCCCTCGACTTCTGCTTTGTTTTCTGAAAGGACCCCAGGATTTTAGGGAATCCAATTCTTTATGAAAATCGTTAAGTGTTTTCTAGAGTAATAGATTTTATTAAAAGGTATAAGCTTTTATGAGCTACAGCTCACTTCATAAGCTGTATATACATACATTCTGAATAAAACTTTTCTTTAAAAAATTGTTACATTTTGGCTACTCTAGGCTAATATAGCTCTCCTCCTACAGGTATGATTATTTCGTTTGTATTGATGCTAAAGACAATGCCTGAGAGAAATACTGATTCTCAGATAGTATAAACTATGAGGGATTGCCAGGCAGGTTTTGAGGGTGGTAGTGGAACTGAGAGCTTGTCTATTTGCTATAATCATTCTAAGGGGTGGGGGGGGGGACAGATAACAGTTGACAGCTATAAACATCAAATATCTTAACCTTAACTACACAGCTGACAAGTACATTATTATATTGTGAATAGAAAAGCAGGCAAGTAAGACCAAAGACCAGTAAATGGGATAGTTTACAAACAGTTTAAAAACCTGTTTATCAATTTGCCAAACTAGAGTATAGTTTCAAGTGGAATGGCATTGGGGTTATAAAAATGTACTAACGCTTAGAACATAAGGGTAACAGAGTTTATTTATTAGTTCAATTTATATGCCATCTTTCTCTGAAGACTCAGGGCGGCTGGAAGGGACCTTGGAGATCATCTAATCCAACCTCCTGCTTGAGCAAAAGAGTCTATACCATTTTATACAAAATGGCTGGGGGGAGCAAACAAAAGCTGGCTAGGAAGTTTTGGGAATTGAACTCTATCCATCTTAAAGCTGCCAAGGTTGAGAAAGATGGCTCTACATTCCTCAACATGTTCATTAATGATTTCGATGAAATGGTGGCAATTCTTGTCATACATGCTGATGATCCAAGCCCTCCCCTCTCCAACATAGGAAATAGGCTGGGCTGAAAGTGGCTGGCTCAGAGCAATCCGTTGAGTTCCGTAGCTGAGAACAGACATGAATCTGAAAGTCTAATCACATCCAATGCTTCAATGTCTTTAGAGTTCAGTGTTACAGCAGGTTAGCATCTATTCTCTCACAAACATTTTGCTTCATTTACAAAAAAGTGAAGACATCTTCAGGTTCAGCTTGACTCCTGCTGATTACATGGACACATCCATGCTGTTTTTGTAATACAGTAACATGGAGGTGGTCTGCCATGGCATTTTTTCCAGAAATATTTTGTTTTAATTTCTGCTTTAGCGTACTGGTTTGGAATTCCCTGCTGATCTCCATTTATATATGAACAAGCAATGTTCAGTTGGCAAGAGGAGCTACTCTAGTAGATTTTTTTTAAAAAAGATTTCTGTTCTGAAACCAAAATAAAATCATTATCCCCAACACTCTCTTTCATCCAAAACTGTTAAAGAGGAAATACCATGATTGGCCCTTTCCTTTTTAGAAACTGGGCCATGTATGACACTTGGACTCTCATTTCCTCGATTATTTGTGAAATAAGACAGCCATGATTCTCCGAGTCTCCCAGTGAGGAGGTTGGACTGGATCTCAAACTGCATTCAGAGTGACTAGACTGGAAATCACTTGGAAGATCTTCCCGATACTGTAGAGATAACAAAACAGTTTACTTATCCCTCAAGCTCCAGGACGTTCATATTCTTACAAAAAGATTTATGCTATGATGTAACCTACCACCACAACCCACCAACTTTCAGAAATTATGGTGGTAAGCCTGCCATTTGGCCATGCTGCCTGTTAACCATTCATGTTATCAGAATTGTGAGGTCCCAAGCAAAGACCTGTCCACTCAATGCTTCTCCTCCCTAGTTTCACTACTGAACTCCAGCAAAATAAGTGCAATGGTGGCTGTGCAACTGCTTGAGAGGACCTTGGATGATTATCAGGATCCTTCTCAGTCAGAATCCAGACCTCGACATGGAATGGAAAGGGCATTGGTAGAACTTTGGGATGATCTCTGGCATGGCCAAGATAGTGGCTGTATGACCATCCTTGCCTTATTTGACCTCTCAGCAGCTTTCAATATTATCAACCCTGGTGCCCTGGATCAACTCAGAGGATTGGTGTAGGGTTGTCGCTTTCTCCAGAGTCAATCCCAGTCAGTGGCAATTGGGGAAGAGAGATTCTACCCCGGATCTAACTGTGTGGGGTGCTGCAGGCATCAAACTCTCACCGTTCCTATTTAACATCTATATGAAACCATTGGGTGAAATCATATGTTGCCATGAGCTGAGGCATTATGCTCATTATCATTATGCTGATGATACCCACTTATACATCTCTTCCCCAGGCAAATTAAGCGATGCAGTGGACATCTTATCCCAGCATCTGGAGACTATGAAGCTCTGGATGGGGAACAACAGGCTTCAACTGGCAAGGACAGCTTTGTTTTTGAGGCCCTCTGGGTCTAGGACTATACATCTTTGGTACTGGTTGGAGTTGCACTGTGTCAAACAGACCCTGTGCACAATCTGGAGACTCCTGCTTGATTAGCAGTGACAGTCATAGAGAAGGGGCCTTTGCACAACTTCATATTGTGTGCCAGCTGTGCTTGATCCTAGATCAAAGGGCACTCACTACTCATGGTTAGTTTTGCCCTGGTCACCTTCTGCTTGGACTACTTCAATGTGTTCTATCTGGGGCTGCCTTTGAAAAGTATAAGGAAACTTCAGCTGCTACAAAATGCAGCAGTGTGAGGAGTTATGTATTTCTTGCAGTATTTGTTTCCAAGCACAATTCGATGTGCTGATGTTGATCTTTAAAGTCCTTCATGACATGGGATTGAGGGACTATCTCTCTCCGATTTAATCTGCCCGTTCCACCAAATCCAGCAGAGGACATTTTACGGGAAGAGAAGTTGGTCTTATCTTTTCTGAGTTTCTGAAGATCCCTCAAGACTTGGTTGTGTCAGCAGGCTGGAGAGCCCCAAGGGACTGGTGAGCTAAAGTGATGAACATGATTTTAAATGGGCTGAAAATTCTGCTCCAGCCTACTCGAACGATATCGGTGTCATTGCTATGCCTGTGTCTCTCAACATTGCACATATATTATTAAAAATATCAGCATCCACTATTAAACTTAATAATTTGAAATAGTGAAAAGCGCATTGTGACCTGACCATGTAAAACCTGCTGTCCTAGAACTGTGTCCTCATACTGGACAAAAGGTCACACTTTCTCTATGGCTATAATTTAGAACATATGTAAGTCTTTTATGCTTTAAGAGGAGGTCAATATTACCATGGTAATTTTGTTACTGGCAGAAAAAAATCCTTCTCCAGCCTTGATGGCTTTGTGGCCTGGGGATGGGATGTTCTGATGCTGCGTGCAATCTTCTTTCTTCAACGAGGAAGGCTGGATGGAGTAAATATGTTCCTCATCATTTTGTAAGCACCTTCTAACAACTTGCAGAACTGTTTCACTGATGCCCTTAGTGGACTGAAGCTGTCTCACAAGATAACCAGCTTTGGCAGACCACTCATACAGAAGACTATCTACCAGATGATGATGCTGGTCTAGTTGGCTGTGGAATTGTCCAGCTACTCCCATAATTTCATCAGTAAGGAGGAGAAGGTTCCCTGTAGTGGCAAGTAAGCTCTCTTTCGGCTTTAGAAATTTGGATGGTTCCTCCAGTGCATCCCGGATGACTTTGTCCACCATTTGGATATTTGCTTTGAGGAAGGCTGCCTTTCTTCCAAAGGTCTCCTTTTGGATGAGGTCACTGTTACTTCCAGTGCCATGTGATATAAATTGGCTTAATCTGACAACACTCTGGATGCTGCTCAAGTATTCTCCATTGAGTCCATTCAGTTGGAGCAAGACGGCTTTGGCTGTTAAGGCAAGTTTTCTTTGGAGAACCTCAAACTGAACCAATAAACTGGGAGCAGCTATTGGCGAGACTGCCAGAGCATTTGCAACTTGAAGCAGAGATTCTGTTAATATTTTGATCTGTTCTGTTTGAGATGGAATCTCATTCTCAATACCTTGTCTAGCACATAACAGAATTGACAACTTAGCAGCTTCCTGTATTCTAATAGAATTTTCAGATACTGTTGTCAGCGTGCTCTGCAAACAAAGCCGGTATTTCATTTTAGTTTGTAACTCTTTTAAGGCCAATACATCTCTTCCTATAAACTGATCTACAATATTTAACAATGCTTGGATGGTAACAGACCACAGAATGCAACTTGCATCAAATCTGTCCTGTTTAGCGAAATCAGGAGGAGATCTACTAATATCCTGTGCTTTTTCAAGCAGGTATTTTGTTCTGGTTTGTACACAAGTAAACTTAGTTTGAACTCGTAGGAAAATTTCCTGAAGGCTGAAACACCCGGGAAGCAATTTTCTGTCATCTGAATGGACCACTTTGCTAATTAACTGAACCAGCATCTCTAAAATATCCATGATCTCATCAAAACTTTGGATTTTGTCATGAGAACCACATGGAGGCATAAAGCCAATTAATTGCCTTGCCAGCCTGTACCAAGAACTTACAACAAAAGTCAGACTGTGCTTTGTCTCGTCAATCTTCTCAGAAAGCAAAATAGCTGTTTGCAGCAGTTGCTCTGAATTGAGAACAGGGTTTGCCTCTACTTCTCTAGCTAATCCAATAAAATGAGGGATTAACCCCACTATTTCTTTATAATGCAATAGTTTATCAGAGAGAGGTGACTCAACAATCCGTAAGGCTTCTTTAGCTGCATCAATACAAGTGTTAGCAAGTTCCAGCAAATCAGCACAAATACCATTCAGGCGTATGGCATCATGTAGACTTGTTGCTGTTGTCAGCTCTCTAATCAGTGGGTGTAAATCAACTCTTCTGACTTCATCTTTCTGGTATATAATATTTTGGGGGGGAAATTCCGGAAAAGGACAATAGGCTGGTTTAAATTTCTCCAAAGACTCGACCAGCAATTCTGCATTATTTGAGCTATTTTGTTTTATGAAACTTTGTGTACTAAATTCTATAGAATCCTGTGAAGCAAGGGCATTTGGAAAATCTATGGAAATATTGAAATCATGGACACCATCCCGAAGTGGACTAAGAATATCCGGCTGATTACATTCATCTAGCCCCTTTTGGACATTACAAGCAAACTCTATCAATTCCTTTGTCCTCTTTGAATATTCTTCTTTAGCTTGCACACTGGTCATTCTTGCCATACACGAATTTATGCTAACTTCTGTCTGTGTTATGGCATTTTTCAGTTGTTTAATGAAAACCAAGAGGCCATTCCGGAAAATGGGATCTCTGGCTTTGGCCACAAATCTACTAATGAACTCAACTATCTGTGTTGCTTGTCTGCACAATCTAGACGTGTGCCAAAAAAAATGTTCGAAGTGCTGCATATCTAAAGCTTTTTCACTTGCCTCTTTGTGTCTCACCATCTCTTGAACAGATGCATCAAGGAATTCATGCAAATCAAGTATTTTGTCCAAACACATCATCAAACTTTCTGTTGTGCTTGACCATATTTGAGACAAGAAGTTTAATTTTTTAGACACATCACCATTTCCTGGAAAAAGACTCAGTTCACTCAGGACACCAGGCACTGTGGCAAGAAGTCTATTAAATTGGTCTATACACTGTTCAATATCTTCAACAGTTTCCCTTTCAGTGCATGTAACAAGAATCAAATTGGCTGCTTTAAGCATCTGGGTGGAATGTCTGAAGAATGTGGTAATCAAAGGTTTCAATTTTCTTAGGAGGCCTTCCTTTCCAACATGAGAACATGGCTCCACAGCAGCTTCTATCAGCCTCCTCATGGGGTCTTTAATATCAACCAAATTATCCAAAATCTGATAGATAACAGCAGAACGTATTACTTGATTAAGATGTTCCAATTCGGTTTTCATGGCAAAACATTCCTCTTTCATATTTTCCTTTGGAAAGCCATTAAACGTGCTTACATCCACAACAATCACTTTTCTGAATTTCAGTAAATGACGACAAAGTTGAATTAGCTCTTGCTTTAGAGTTGCTCTTGATGAATCAGCAAACAGCATGCAATAGAAAATTAGAACTTCTACAGGTAAGTTTAATTTATCTTCACGTAGATGAATTGGCTGTGGACTAGACATAAGGCCTAGAAATTGATGCAAATGCTGGGGGAAAAAGCCATACCTTTCATGCAGTTTTTTTGTTCTTCCTATGTTGCTCTTCAACAGGGATATCAATTTTTTTACACTACTTTTTGCTAAGTCAAAAATATAATTTTTTGATTGGTTCATTTGCTGCTCATGGGGATACTGAAGGTGGCTGACTTTTGCTGTGAATAACATAGGGATGCTGTTTTTAAGGGTCTGCAGGGTTTGAGCTAAATGTTTCCGCTGCAAAGATTCTTTAAGATCCCAAAGGAGTCTTTCTGTCAGATTGGTGAGTAACAGAAGAGCCTCTGAAAAGGAGCGAGAAGCACTTAGCACTGCTGATACATCTTTAGCAGAATCCAGCATCAGCAGGCAATCAAATAGCCAACGAGCAGCTTGGATTATCCGCCTGATGGTGAAATCCTCTTGTGCCCAGAGAACCTTGTAAATTAAATTTAAAAATATAATAGTAATGTCAGCAATTGTTAAGAGAAGTCTCATTTTACAGCAGTCAAGATCATTGCAATAATTTATTTGGCAATATTTATTTGGCAATGTTAACAACCGTGTCATTTGGGGCCTTTCTCCCCAGCTAAGTTAAAATTCCATCAACCTATCTTTGATTTGCTGCCCCCATTGTCAATTCCTGTCCTGCATCTAATTGTAAAGACGCAATATATGTTAGGCAAAGTGATTGGTTGATTCTACCATTCATCACACCACCACCAAGTGGAAAAAACATCCGCCTTTCATAGTCCATAGTCCATTGGGAATGAGGCAAATCTAGCTGTATGACTGTACAGCTTCACTAGGCGTCTTCCTGGCTCCTCTTCTTTGTCTTTCCCATTCTGCTATAATTCTAGCTGAATAAAGATTAGAAAAATCACATGAGTCATGAAGGAAGCCTGATCACTTTTATTTATGATTTCTCTTCCCTTCCTTTTCATCCATTATTTAATTACAAAATACTTATTTCCCAATACCTCCTTGCTCTGTTAAGGAGGCATCTGGGGGTGGAGGGAGGGAATGCCCTATTATTATGCTATTTCACCTTGTGAAAGGGCAATAGAATTAAAACACTTACCGTAGGAGTGTAAGCAGCCTAATGATATTGCACAATTCCAATAAACCACAATTTAAATTTACATGCTGCCAATTGCTTCCATCTTTCTGTAGACAATGTAAAATGCTGACATCCCTATAACACATTTGTAGTATAATAAAGTGGAGGCTTCTCTGAAGGACAAATTTTCAGGATAGATGAAAAAGATCAATCATCCCTTTCCGTAGTGTATTTAAAACAGATAATAAACTCCCTTGTTAATATAATTAAAAAGAATCTGAAAACTTACTGTTATGCAGTAAATAATTAGCAATATACAAGTAGAACTACTTTCTCTGTACGTATTATATAATCCACTAGGACTATCAATCCCACTAAACAAACCAGACTAAGAAATCAACACCATAAGAAGTCTAAAACTACTTTTAATGAAATCAGCCATAAAGACAGAAACTCGCAAATCTGGTTCTGCTGTACCTTTTATACCTTTTTATGCTTCAGTAAATTAGGAAGGTGTCTGAGCTACGTCCAAACATAATCTCCATTGTGGACTTAAATTGTTTCATCCCCTCATTGCCCTGGCAACTGATCTTGCATATCTCTATCAAGATCATCTTCCTTACTCTCCAATATTGCTATTACTACTAATAAAAAATGGCTGCACTGCCACATCAGTAAGATCTTTGTTGCATGGAGATAATTATTGCTATAATTGGGAAGTATTTAGAATGACCTCATAGATTCTCCTTCTACTCCATAATTCTTCTCTCACCTCTCAAATTGAGATAACAAAATGAGGCCCCTGAGGTAATCCTCTTTTGATCTGACAAATATAAATTGATAGCCAAGCATTTTCTACTCATGTATTTTAGTAGTAGCTAGTCATAAGTAAGAGGTACAGATCAATTATTTGTTTTCTTGGGGTGGAATGTATTGGCAGAACACTGCTGTATCATCATTTTTAAATTGCTACAGATCTAGCCATCCTTAAAAGCTTATAGATAGTTGAACCTTTGGCAGCCTATATGTATCTGAGATTTTGCCATTTGCAGAAACTTAAATACCCATTGTGGGACATAGGAGTATAAACAGTATGAGCAAAAATGAGCAATGCTCTATTTTTCATTTCTATCAAAAATCTCAGAAGCAACCAGATAGAAGGCAAGGAAGCTAGTCACTTTAGCAACAAGCTTTCATAAATGCTCTGCACATATCTGACTAGTTGCTATGTCAAACATGCAAAACTATGCTTCAATAGATAGGAATAAATTTAGTGTACTTTTATGGTTCCCACAAGTATCCTTTTTGCAGAAACAGCCAATTCTTCTACAGAGCTGCAAGCATCGGGTTGAATGAGAAGCTTCTGAACAGCAAGAAGGATGTTTTTCCCTGATACCAGGAGAGTTTGAGTTGCTGGCACCATCTTCTTCTCAAGGACCTCATCACCAGATTTTTCAGCCAGCCTAGAATGGGACAAAAGATGTGGCACTTAGCACATCTTTAAAGGGAGCTGGTACTGAAAACAAAACCAGTCTTTGAGGTCACACACATATCCCACAGGTATTATTATTCTGCACATAGCTTGAGCCCCAAACTCACAATTAAATAGCTTATATTTTAAAATAAATATTACCTTCCAGCAATACAGCCAAGTTCTTCCGTAGCTTTTGCTAATTCTTCTGCAGTTGCCTCTAAATTGGCAAAAGCTTCATGGGTAATTTCTCTCTGCTCAATTGCTATTATTAAATTGTAAAGTTCAGCAATCATGGGCAAAATAATTCGATGCGTGGATTTGGTATAAACAATAGCACTGATGTCATACAGGGAAAAGCACTCTACTGCTTCTGTTTTGGAAATAAAAGACACAATTATCTGAGTTATATTTATTAGGTAAATATATTTAAATATTATGATACATGAATTATAAAGTTCTGAAGGATATTCCTGAGGCAAGCTCTTATAAAAAACCATACTAGAAGAAAGTCTACATTTTTTTATATCAGATCTCCACAGATATCTCAATTTTAGTCAGCTTTTATTTTTAAACATCTTAATTCTTTGTCTGATGCTACTGGCATTTCTGCCAAGAGTGGTGGATGTTGAGGGTGGAAAATTTGAAGAGAATTTTTCACAAGGATTGTTAAAATCAAGTTGTCCAAAAAATTATTGAAAAGCCATTCAAAACAAATCAAATTGGCAATAGTACAAGTGTTAAAAACTTCATATTCTTGTTTATCAAATAAACTCAAAACACTTTTAAAAAAGAATGAATTGTTTTTGCACTACTGATAAGGTAAGCAGATAGCATTGTTTTGGCTACATAAGCAATATCACTCACATAAGAACACCATGAACAGAAAGATGTAATGCTATTTACTATACTCTAGCTGACAAACATATCAATAAAAGTGTAAACATTTTTGAAATTAAAGAGCTCTCACACACAGACACACACACACACACACAAGTGTTAGCAATTATTTCTTAGGATCATCTCCAATATTCTCCATTTGCCAAACATTTTAAAATCTAACTATACATATCTAACAATACATGTCCTAGGGAGAAAGCTTCATGTGTAGTTATTTATTTATCCACTTTATCTACCACCTCAGTTCAAATGGAGGGCAGGCAATTTCCAGAAATTAAAACAAACTTTCCATCAATCAAACTCTTACATTTCCAGGCCTAACTGCTTCTCCCTCCTTATATCAGGCTTTCCCCAAAGTTCCCTTCCAGATGATACATCTAGAAATTTCCCCACTTTTGTAGACCCACCATACTACTTTTTCATCTTGGAAGTAGGTCTGCTTACTAGGGAGATGACCAGCTCAGACCAATGCAGCAGCAATCCTGCATGGGAATCAATCTTATTGAATCCAGTAGAGCTGATTTCTGAATAGATACAGACATTTGAGTAAGCTTATATTACACATCCAGTCAAAAAGGCCTTTTTAAAATAATCTCCAGCTACATACATGTTCTAACAGTTCTCTACTTTACCTGTCTTTGCCATCTTCTCCCCATATGTCATTCCTTGGAGCTTAAAAAAAATCCAGTCTCATAGTCCACTAATTAAAAAGCCCAGCCTGCAAAGAAAGTGAAACAAAACACTTGAAACAAGGGAGAAAAAGAAGGATGAAAAGGAATTGCAGTATGAGAAAAAAAAAAGACAAAAAGAGATTCTCAAGGCAACTTTCTTCACCCAAAGAGCAATAAATTCAGATTATGAACTATCAGGGTGGAAGTCAGGACATAGCCCAAAGCTCAGTGATTGAACATAGATCTTGCAAATAGAAAGTCCAAGTTCAGCCCCTGATATTTCTAGATCGGTTTTCTAAAGATCAGCAACAAGTGATATGAAGAATTCTCTACTTGACACCCTGGAGAGGTCTTGCCAGTCAGAGTTGAGAAAACTGGACTAGATACATGCGATAATACCAGGCAGCTTCCTCTGAATGGATAAATTACATTTTCTTGATCTATGAGGACAATTAACATTTCAAATTAGTCTGAAAATCAAAAAACTCACAGGCTGCTGAACCATGAATTCACTTTGCATTTCTCTTTTCAGCATGAAAAATAAAAATGACAACCCAGACAGTTCTCCTTTTCAAGGAAGTATTCGGACAGATACCAGTTTAAGGGAGATGCCTGTAACAGAGAAAAAGAGCAAAATAATATTTTCCTTTGTTACATAGGGTGGGTCCTAGTAGGTTCTGAGGATGCATTCTTCACTGATACATGCAACATGAGAACTCAGCTTTTATAAATAATTAAACAAGCTTATTTACTAGTAATAGGAACCCCTTAGAAAATGAGATGTGGTAACTTTCCAAAGCCCAAATCATCAGTCAGTCACAATTATGGCACAAATAATCCTGTGTTTACTATTAAAATCCACCTCCACAAAGGAATACAGAAGAACAACAATAAGCTTTGAATCACACAGAAATGGCCTGGTGTGCTCCATATTGTATCTGAAGTTCAGTAGGACAAGTTCTGCATCTGTGACTGAACAATGGGCAAACTCTAAGCTTGTGAATTCTATACCAATAATTTTGAAGCTAACGGGACAACAGAAATCAAATTTACATACTTTCATGTATGCAGACATCTATAAGGGTGGAAAACTCATCTGTTCTTTGTATACCATGGTCTGAAGAGTTGCATTTTTTCTATGTCTGAAGATTTTTTTTATGAGTACAAGTCCCTTATTAAGAAATTTGAATTCCATACATTCATTTGTATGTTTGATTTTCATTATTAAATAATTTACTCATTTAATCATATAACATAATATGAATATGTAACATTAATTTTACTTACCGCAGAAGACATGCATGCTTTGTCTGGGCTTTTCTTTCTTTCTTTCTTTCTTTCTTTCTTTCTTTCTTTCTTTCTTTCTTTCTTTCTTTCTTTGGTATATAACAGACATCTTTAATTTTTAAAACCTGAGAAAAAATCTCCTAGGTCAGATTAAATACTGCACTTTTTAATTCAGGCACATATTCCTACAGTAACCATCAAGGAAGCTCAGAAGCAGGACTGGAGAAGCAATAGCCCCAACACCACCACTATTACGACCCTGAAATTGTTACTTTCAGATTCATTGCCTTTGATCCTGGATGAACACAGAACTTTTTGCAGCAGGTAGTCTCTCTTTGTCCTAGATGAGTGTTTATGTGGTTGTTCAAAGTCAATATCCATTTGACATACAAGCAATCAAAATCAATTTCCCTCTTGTCAACTGACAAAGACCCCAAAAGGCAGAGATGATGTTAGAATGTCACTGGAGAAGTTGGGATAGAATTTTTAAAATTTGGCCCTATTCCCCTTCTCTATTTTTTTTTAATTAAATGCGCTGGATTAAAGGCTATCAGTGGCTCAACACATCCATTTTGTGTTCCTGAAAAAAAGTTGAAAATCACCTGGTTATTATTGTCAGCTTGAAACAAAATGAAATGGTACATTTTCCGGGACAAAAAGACACACGTGACATAGCCTCCCCCCCCCCCCAAATACCCATGGCCAGCAATGCTTTGGGACCAAGCTAACCTTCTAGTTGCCTAACACCCTTTAAAACCATCCTAGCAGCTGACGCTCATCTGCATATTAACAATAAACAAGCATGAAGGCCCAACTCCCATGAAGACCTTCGCAGGTGAGCTTTACGGGTTGCCTCGCGTCCTTTCGCTCCTTGGGGGAAAGACCTGAGGGGGACTTCCAGTTACGTCAATCGTAGAAGGGAGGGGAGCGGGGACCCAGTGGGGCACTGTTTCTCAATCACAGCAACTTTTAATAAGAGTGGACTTCAATTCCCAGAATTCCTTGCTGGCTGGGGAATCCTGGGAGTTGAAGTCCGTACGTCTGAAAAGTTTACCGAGGTTGATGAACACCGCTTTAAACGGGATGAAAGAGGCACAGAAGGGCCCTCCTCGTGCTTTTTGCTCCGCGGTCCACGCTTACGCATCTCCTTCAGGCTTCGCTCCCCACCAACGCTAATCGAAACACAGCAATGCTGTGCCAAACGGATCTTTCCTCTCTCTCTCTATTTTTTTAAAGATCACCAGAAATAACCTATAATCTGGGCCAGATTGCAGCAAGATTCAAACCGAAAGCTCCTTTTCCACTTTATTGGATGAAGAATAGACCAAGTGGTTTTTTCCCCCCCCCTCAAAACCAGCCCAACGCAGGCCCACGGCGGTTCCTTCCACCCTGAAACTGTGGACAGGCTCCGAATTAAGCGCACGGGAAGCCTCTGGGGGAACCGAGAGGGCGGCGCGACTCAATTACTCTTTTTACGTCGTGAGGCAACCGCCGAGGCTCGGCCCCTCGCTGGATCCGCCTCTTTCGGCGCTGGCCCCGCTGGGGAGGAGCCCTCATGGCAATGGGCGAGCCTCCGGGTCCAGAGGCACAAGGCAGCCCGACAGATGGGCGGCTACCCGCCTGCAGCAAAAGGGGCCGACGGTTCGGGCTTGTCAGCGTCCTCGGGATGATGGGCAAGCAGCTGGAGGGATTCAACGGGAGCTGCTCTGCCCCGGCCGCCGCTTTGGGATGCTGAGCCGCCGCGTCGTCAGCATGTAGGCAGCGCTGCAGGAAGTGCTTGAGAGTTCAGGCGAGGGAGAGAGTTCGAGCGGCTTTCCTTTCGGGCGAGGCTCACGAGGGAAATCGGGCCGAGCGACCCCCTTTTTTAAATATATTTTTTTCCTTCAGCCCGGGACGCAGCTGCCGCCTCACCCCGGAGCAGACGGCAGCCCGCGGCGCGGCGCCCACCCCAGCTTGCAAAGGAGCGCCTCCTCCTGCGATGCCGGTTTTAATTTCTCTTGAAGGCAGCCGAGAGACGTCGGCTTGCGTGAATGGGCGGGATTGATGCCCTTTTAATTAGGGTTTTCCAGCTCGATCTTCCAAGTGATCGGTGGCTTCCCCCCCCCCCCCCCCCCACCCCCTCTAAGGCTAAGACCTACGGTTAAAAGATGTACACGTTTGTGGTGCGAGATGAAAACAGCAGCATCTATACTGAAGTCTCTAAAATTCTCCTCTCCACCGGACAATGGAAGAGGCTCAAAAGAGATAATCCCAGATTCAACCTCATGTTGGGCGAGAGAAACAGGCTGCCTTTTGGGAGGCTGGGTAAGCAAGCCGCACGCGCGAACCTGGGCACACCCGGCTGGGTCGGGGTCGGGGTGGGGGGTGCAAAGCATGAGGCAACCTTTCTGCGGAGCTCTTCGGGAAGAACGGGGTTCCTGGCTTTTTCCCGGCAGCTGATCGGCCTCCAAAGACCCCGCTGATCTGCATGCGGCGGCCGAAGTTTGGAAGTGCTGGCGAGAGGGGTGCGGTAGGGAACGCCTGCCAAACCGGGGTCTGCAGATGTTAGCAATGGGGTGTTGTCTGCTGCAACATTAGGAGTGACTTTATCTTTAGCAAGCCAATGAGACTAGCTGGATGCCAGGTTGTGAAAAGGGTGGATGTGTAATATATCTGTTGGGGTTAGAAAATATTGCAGGGAAATACAGGTGCTGAGCTGGGGTTGGGTTTTTTTTGCATTTTCTTCTTTAAACCCAGGGCAGAATCATCCGTTAAGTTAGCATTGTTATTGATACCTTTATTTTGCAACAATATATTCACTCCCCTGCAAAATAGATATCTAAAATCAAAATAAAATCACAGTAATATAGTTTTTACAGCTTTTGTAACAATTGATGCTGTATTCAAACTGGTATGTCAGTGATTTTTTTCCCCAATGGGAATGCAACTTTGCTGACTCCTTTTGGCATTTAAAAAATCCCTTTTTTTTGCTTTTGCAATAATATTTTAGTTGCTCACCAATAGCAAACTATTCAACATGATTGTGTCAGATGTCAGGCATCCAGTTCTCTGCCTTTTTCTTCATGTTGGTTTGAACTGAATGCAGGGTATATTTAAATAGCCTACAGACTGGGTTTTCTATGAGCAGTGAATTTTAAAGACTGCATATATTCCTTAAAATGATTCATAATAAAGGCAGAGGGAAAAAACTCTAAGCGTTACTAATTTCCGTAACCCGTTGAGAATATTACAGTATGCATAGACCTGGTGTTTTTAGTATGTTTACTCAGAGTGCAGTCCCCATTCACTTGGGAGCAAGCTCCAGGAACCCCAAATGGGATTTAGCTTTGAGTAGATGTATGTAATAATGTGCTACATGTTTTTGTTAGATTGTGACTAAGGCCAGAATTATGAATATAATGGATTTTTACAATGATTTTTATTCAAGTGAATTGTGGAATGTTTTTCCACCCTGGGGTACTCTTTGAGAAATACTAACAATTATTCAATCAAAAAGAGGAATTAATGTTTATAAATAAGAAACAGGCTTCTTTAACTTGGCATCTTTCAGTATGACTCCCTGAATTTTCAGTCAGTATGGCATAAAACTTTGAACTGAATTGTTCAGTTATTGGTTCAGTTACTGTTCAGATGCTGATCCACTTTTCAATGGAAGAAATTTGTAGAATTCATTTTCTTCCACTGAAAAGTGGATCAGCAATTTAGTTCAAAGTTTTATGCCATACTGACTGAGAATTTAGGGAGTTGAACTGAAAGATGCCTCTTGCTATAATTTAAAAGAAGAGGCTTATTTTCAAGTGGGCTGTTTTAAAATTCAGTTCATGGACTCTGCATTAGTCTTTCAAAAGCAAAGAAGAAGAATGGCTTCCTTTTATATAGTGGCTTCTTATATTATTGTGATGTTAGAGAGTCACAACAATCATTCCATTTATTGTTATATGCATGCAGGTTTCACTGGCATCAGAAAGAGACAGTCATCCAGGCCTCTGGATGGCCTTGGTTGGACTCACAAACTGAGTAGTATTGAGCTTAGTTAGAATTTAGGTGGGCATCTCTAGAGAATTCTAGGGCTATAGAATAGACTGTAGTCACCAAACACATCCTTCATCCCCCAAGACAGTGGCAAATTACTATTATACTCCTGCCAAGAAGATGACTTGGTTATTCCACATAGGCACAAGGAATTGAGCTCAACTTGAAAGGCTTTGCTTTTACTAGGACCTCCAGATTAATCATATGTATGATTAATCTGGAGGTCCTGTTGGATTTAATCCAAGAAAAAGGGCAATTGCTAAGAGAGGGCTGGGCTCTCCACTGATTTTTTTTTTTGAGGTTGGACAGTTATCTGTTAAGAGATGCTTTAATTTGTATTCTTGCATGGAGTAGCAGATTGGACCTGAGGTCCTAATTGGCTTCTTTTAATTCCACAATGGTGTGACTTGCTGAATGTGGAAAATGACCTGGAATTGCTGGAACAGGAGTCAAAGTCCTATAAGTATGTTTAAAGGTAAATGTAAAGGTTCCCCTCGCAAAAATGTGCTAGTTGTTCCTGACTTTAGGGGGCGGTGCTCATCTCAGTTTCAAAGCTGAAGAGCCAGCGCTGTCCGAAGACGTCTCCATGGTCATGTGGCCAGCATGACTAAATGCCAAAGGTGCTCGGAACACTGTTACCTTCCCACCAAAGGTGGTCCCTATTTTTCTACTAGCATTTTTTATGTGCTTTCGAACTGCTAGGTTGGCAAGAAGCTGGGACAAGTAACGGGAGCTCATCCCATTACGCGGCACTAGGGATTGGAACCCCTGAACTGCCAACCTTTTGATCGACAAGCTTAGCTTCTTAGCCACTGAGCCAAAAATAAATAAAAATAAATAAAGTATGTTTAGCTAAGGATATTTATTACCACTGAAAGTAATAGCATAGCCATCTCCAATTAGAGATTGGACACTAGAACAACACTAGAACAAATCTGTCCTTTTTGATTCTCCAGATTTCCCCAAGTTTGTTTCCTCCTACAACTCCATTCTTGCTTGCTGATAACGATGTAGCTTCAAAACATTTTAAGAGCATCATCATTGGCATCCTTCAGTCTCAAAAGACGATCGTATTGTGCTCTAGAAAGAGGTCCTAAAACAGCATCTAGTGTGACTAAAAAGGCCAATTCGAGAGTGGCAATCCCTTCCACACTGAGGGCAGATACATTTTAAGAGCACAAGTTTGAGAAAGCATGCTCCAGAGGGTGAGCTCTGAACCACTGGACTAATACTTTAAAAAAGGTTTTTTAACAAAATATTTAACTAAAAGTAAAAAGTATAAAAGTGCTTTGTACACTGAAAGCGTAACTAAAACTAACCAATTTTAGCCTGTAAAATAATAAGAGGTGAGGGAGCTCATGTTTTTGAGGCTGTGAAAAAAAATAGAAGAGAAAGCAAACCATCCTAGAAAATGCAAAATACTGTAAGAACTAGTATAAAAGTAATGAATCACACCCAAAAAATCCTGCTTTAAAGCAACAGAGAGAATTGTGGTACCTCAAGGACTAACAAATCTCTAGAATCTCTGCTTTTCACTCTTAGATCCTGAAAAATGGTTCATTTCATTGGAGTTAGAAAGATGTAACTGGTTTACATGCAACTTACAGATTTCTATTCAATAGAGACGTACCTCTTGCTTTCCAAACACTTTTCTTGTGGAGGGTGTTTGACAAAAATAGCTCTCCTTTGAATTTTCTAGTAAAACAGAAAATTCAGAACAAATGTATGGCCATAACATTGCGGCTGTGATTTTTATACTGAACTGGATCCTGCTTAAACAAACCAAACAAGAGCTTATGATTCATTTATTAAAAGAGAGGGCAGAATCATTGAAACTGCCTTGGGGTATTGTGCTCATATGAGATTTCTGCATTGCTCTGCTCCCTTGACTGCACCTCCTTCCACAAAAGTACCTACTCTGTGATTTATACCTGCTGCAAATCTTAGCCATAATTTCAAAAAGAACAGACATTACTTTTGCTCCTATTTTTGAAGTTGGAATTAAATAAACTGGTAATTGGACTCTGCCACCCTTAAAGTCAGCCTCCCTGTCTCCACTGGCCAGTATATTGCTTGGAAGAATGAAGGATTCGAGTCCAATACATTTGGAGGACATCAGTTTGGAATCAGCCACTAAGTGAGGCTGGCAGTTGCTTAATTTAAAATAGGATGAGTGCTCCAGCAAATGCCAGGGTGTATAATGTCATAAACATTCTGACTGTATAACAGATTATGTGGTTTTTTGTGCTGAAGGCCAATATTCAGTGTTGGGAGTGTATGAGTAAGCAAAGTCAGATGCCACAGCAAAAAGTTTAATGCAAAGAAAAATATGCTTATTTAAGAGAAGTATTCATTATGCATGAGTAAATTTAGCTGCAGTTACCAAGTCGTAAATCACCTTTTCAGCAGAAGGCGAAATCCTGTGGAATATTTATGCTACAAAACATTCATGATAGTGTAAATGTTGGTGTGGTTCCTTTGTCAGACACCTGATGTCTTTCAGCCCTATGGCTGAAAGTGGAATGATTACAGTTTCTGTGCCAAGAAGGGCATCTGTGTTACTGTGGCAATAAATTTTGTTTTCATTTTTCCCTGATAGATATCTATATGCTGTTAATGATACCAAGGCTGGGAATGGATGGATTTTAGGAAATTGTTTGATTTCTCTTTTAAATGCAACAGTCCTGTTAGCAAGGAATTAGTTAGCCTGAGCTACCCTATGTCTGGCTCGGGCTACATTTTGTTTCTTCCTCAAATTCTGTCTCTACCTTAAAAACAAAACTTGGGGATAATGGGCTCAGAATCCCTCACTAGCGAAGGAATTAGCAGGTTCCCTGATATTAAAGAAACTATATAAAGTGACTTCTAGTTCAGGTTGCCTTTGCTACTTTTGACCTAGGTTTCTCTTGATCTCTTGAGGAAAGTGATTTGATTAAGGGGTAACAAGGGAATAGCATAGGTATAATCATTTTATTATTAAGAGTTTTACATAATATGTGTAATGTTCTGGGTTTGAAGCAGAAATTCATGAATGTGGCACCATTTTGCAGTTCCTAAACCAAACATGCCTTTTTCTGGGATCATATCACAGCTCTGGAGGGCTGAGGACAGACAGCTCGTCATCCTGGCAAATGGATGCTTTGAGGAGTTACCAACTTCTGTGAAAGTAGCTTTGTGTACTACTCAGCCATAATATTGATACTTTATAACCACCTAACCCAATATGCTGCTCCTCATATTTTAAAGTTGCAGTTCCCAGAATTCCTAGCTAAATCTAACAAGTGGTTAGGCCACAAGCTTTTGTTATGCTAAGATGGCTGGAGATTGCCAGGTTGGAAAAGCTTGTCCATGTTGGTTTTTGACAAATCAAGAAAAGATAAACTGAATTTTTTCTATCCCATATGAAACTTGAAGAAAGAAAAATTAATAAACTGAAGAAGGCTCTGAAAAGTAATGAAATTATTAAAAGCAAAATCTGAGCAGCTTGCCAGAAGAATTGAGATCAAAGCAATTAGGACTGAGGATTGAGTAACATGAGTCAGCAGTGAGAGAGGTCTGTTTAAAAGACTAATGGATTGCATTAGCAGAAGCTTTTTGTCCATCAGCGTCATAAGTAGGGAGAAAGTGACAAAATTATATTATGAGCATGATACAAACCTTGTGACTTATATACTTGTCTCCAGTGTTGAGACAAGTATATAAGAGACACAAATATAAGACACAAATATAAAAGGATATTGTGTCCTGACATTGTTGTATGTTTTTTATATAATTGTGGTTATCTGCGGATGTCTCTGTTCATGTCCACCTTTCAAAAATGTACTGGACTTACTAGTGTTTGAATAAGTGGAGATTAATAATGGTGTTATCTATATTAATGCTTGTTTATATTTGTTTAAAAACATTTCCAGAATGCAAACAACAAGGATATTAACATTCCCTTTTCATAGGTCATGAACCTGGACTTACACAGTTGGTGAACTACTATAGAGGGGCTGATAAACTTTGTCGAAAAGCTTCTTTAGTGAGGTAAGATATTGTTGCTTGCTTGTTTACATGTAATAGTGGGATCCATGCTGCCTTTTTTCAATCTCCTGAAGTTGCGCCTGCATCAAAACACTCAGTGGGATGCTCAGCTTGTTACTGGTTAATCACTGTAACTGTTTTAGATGTGGAAAAGAGCAATTTGCATTCCAAATGCTTATCAAAAAAGAAAAGAAAAAATGTGAATACAAATGAGCAGCCAAAGATGATATGTTATATATCTGTAAAAATAAAGAGATTGTGGGTCTTTGTGCATGTCCATTCAGCGTAAATGTAGATAAAATTAATTGAGTATTATGCTCTCCATTTTAGTAAAAGGGTTGTGGACATTGGATTTCAGGAGGGCAACTCATTTGTGCTTGCTGTGCAGCTGCTTTGTTACTCTGTATGTAGTTAGGTTTATTTAAATGTCTGGTTGCCTTTTGGGGAACAAATCCCTTGGAATTCTCCTCTTGGTTACTTTCTCGGTGCTGCCATTGACAGTCAATTAATTTCAGATACTGCCTCGTGACTTCAAACTGGCATTGCCTCATTTTCAGATATGGATGCTCAATAATTACTTTCAGGTCACAGATCTTGGGAACTAGAATGATTTTTGAATGTAATTGATAACCTTCTGTTCATTTTCTTTAATAGCAACAAAGCAAATACTTTTCTTGAAAGTAGAGCCTTCTTTCAATTTTTAAGGCTATGAAAAGCCAAGTATATATATATTTAAAAATCAATAAATAATATGACTATAGGTATTACTTTATAATTCTTCTAGAATTGTGCTGCTTGGCTAAAAATTGCATGACAGGCCACACTCTTACAGTGAAAAAGAGTGCTAGAGGGCATGTTTTAATGGATAATACACATTTGGATTATATGTGACCTTTATGCTCTGTTGATTTACATATACTAATAAGCCTTAAGGATATGAAATCCATTAAGTTCTGGTTGGCATTTCTAATCTCTGACCTTCCTTGAAACATAAAATGAAATGCTTGTGGGCTTTGCCAAATGTTTTGTTGTGTTTTAGGATTCATTTAAAGTCTTGCAAAATGTATAGCAGGTTTTTAGGCATTTTAACTGGCACAACAAAAATATCTTCTTCCTTAAACTGTTGGTAAATTTAATTCCAAACCAGTCTTTTCCAGCCAATTATTTGTAGAATATTTGTTGCTCCCCAAGTAAATCTGTCTGGTCCATTAATCCATTAAAAACATTCTTAAATTCTTATCAGCTTTATGCCATTTTGTATATTAAGTTACCAGTTAGCTTTTCTTCTATTCTGAGTTGAAGTTTTACTCACTACCTATTCACCAGGTAGTTTTTCAAATTGTTGTTTGGAGGACCTCTTACCTGTAAAATAATTGTAAATCGTAGGGTGATTAGAAAACAAGGTCTAGTGTCCCTATCCAGTGTCCTTAAAGGGTCTCCAAAATCCAGTGTCCTTAAAGGCTCTGTTGTTGTTAAGAGCTTGATGGTTTTCTGTCTCCTGGTGCTAAGACCTGCAGGATGCTACTAACCTGCAGTCTCCTTGTGAGGAGGAGAAGAATGAGAAGAATCTCTCCTCCTCTCCTTTATTCAGAAGGACTCTGTTAAACTGAGCTAGCTGCCAGGCAATTGGTCATTACAGCTATTTCACCATTTACCTCATCCAAAACTTGATTTGATAATGCCTGGGAGTTTTAAAGTTACAAGCTCAACATATTTGGAGAGTGCAAGTTGGGTGGGGAAATCTATCCCAGAATTATCAAGGCATTTGATTGAAGATAGCACCTGATTGTGAGCAAAATCATTTTAGGGGAAAAAAAACCCTTAAAAATGAGCTTGTCACCATTTGGAAGATAAAACGTATGCTGGCGGTTGTAGTGAAGCTTTATTTCGTTTTTTTATAATATGGAGAAAGTGTATAGAACATGATGCTTTTTTCTTTTTCTTATAACATCAAATCTGAACAATTCTAACGAGGGTTGAATGGTGAGAGGTTTGGGGGTAGATAAAAGGATGTACTCATTTAGGGCACAGTTAAATTATGCAAGTCATTACGTATCGGGTATCATGAAATACATTGACTGCCACCTTAATATAGCTTTACGGTAATACAGTTAGAATGTATTTCATAAGAGATAAGATTATCAAAACATACTACCTTTCCCCCAAGATCGGGATCATCATATTCACAAATACAATAATTACTTGCAATAACAACAGTTGTTCCCATGTCCTCTCTATGAGCTTCCTAGAGGTTGAGTAGCTGGCTGCTCTGGGATCAGAAAGCAAGAGATCTTTGGCTGATCCACTGGAATTGTTTTTTTAATGACAGGGGAATAAAAGGGGCTTCAAAAGGTACCAAAATTTGCTCATAGGCAGCAGGTGCACAGGGCCTATCATGAGTATTAATATAGGTAGACAGGAAGGGCTATAAATTTCTTAATTATCTAATTAATACAGAATAATAACATATATTTGAAAACTTGCATGAACTATTGTTCTGGAGGAGACTTCATTCTTAGGGATCATAAACTGATTGTTTCAGTTTCAGTCACTGAGCCTTGGATCAGAAGATCTTAGGTTATAGGTTTGAAGAAGACATCAGATCAAAGTTTTTGAACATGTCTTTCATGACAGCTACTTTAGAACAGCCTCCACCTCAATATTAACTATTTTGGGTAGCAATAGTTATCCGGAATTTTTGAGAAGCATTTTTCCCTTATCTAGATATCAAAGAAACTGAAGCTCCTACATCCAAAGTAACCGGACAAGCTGCATTTGTCCTTCAAGACATACGTAGATGTCTAAGGAATAGAGAATGTATTATTTCCCTCATGGGAATATTTTCCAAAAAAAAGTTTTCCTATAATTTTGGAAATACATGCATTGAGAATTAGAGTCACTGGATTACTGTATTCATTTCCGTACTGTGTTCTGAAAAACAGAAATGATTGGATTGATCCAAATGTGTTGGAGGCAATTGGCAGTAATATGAAAGATGTTTAAATCAAAAAGACCAGCTAAGATCTTGATCTTTCTCTCTGTAGATTAATCAAGACAAGCCCTGAATTGGTGGAGGCTTGCACATGGTTTCCAGAATCTTATGTGATTTATCCAACCAATTTGAAGACACCAGTAGCTCCAGCTGAGAATGGGCTTCATCATCTGATAAACAACACAAGGACAGATGAAAGGGAAGTCTTTCTGTCATCCTATCAGAAGAGGAAAGAGAGTGGAGAAGGAAATGTGTGGATAGCCAAATCTTCAGCAGGAGCCAAAGGTTAGTTTCTGACAAAGACTCTGGAATGCATTACTTTTATTTATATAGTTTTTTATTTATCCAAGAGAAGTTTTTAGTTATCCAAGAGAAGCCATGGAGTATAAAAACCATGGCTTATTAATAAAAAAGGTCTCATATTCAAATTCCAACTTTGCTATTCAATCACTGATTCAGACATATTCTCCTGGGTTCCATGGGTAAATTACTACTTTGCGCTAAACTACAATGTGGTGTGTTTGTTTTATACCTAGTGTGTCTCATGGAGCAAAAACTGTTGCATTTTTTAATCAAATTTTTGGCCTTATTGGGATACATTAGCAATTGTGGCCTATTTGACAAACCATGGGTAAAATAAACCATGGTATAGCTTGATACGCAGCCAGCCAGGATAATTTGACATAATTTGATTAAAATTGATAGAGAAAATGAACAGAATCTGGAAAAAGAGATTGATACTAAAGCCAGTTTAAAATTATTCCCTTCCCTAAGGTCAAATATTGTGTGGTAGCTTTGTTGCAGATCTGTTGAGACCACAACTCCACTGACAAAGATAATTGGGTAAGAAAAGTAACCGGGCCTGCTTTTTGGGGTCCAGCAACAGCAGTCAAAGTTTTATTATTATACTAGCGGCCTAGAAAACTGATCTTTCTTGCAGACCTTTCATTACCTGGCTAGGTAACATCTTCAGTGCTAGAAGAGAATGGGGCTTGCTCTCTTTTTTATTTACAGAGCTTGTTGTGTTAGTGGGGTATATTTTTCTCCTTGGTAGTCCCTTGATTTCAGCTATGCCCCAGCCAGGTAATGAAATACCTACAAGAAAACTATCGAGCTCAGTGATCACCAAGAACTCCACAGTTCAACCCTGAGTTACTTTCCTGTCTCTTCTATTGATACCCAAAGTTATAGGTTAAGCTCCAAAAAAAAGTTTTGAGTTATAATTCTAAGAATGGGTTGTTGATATTTTATTTAGTACTTCTCTATTCAACCCCTTATTTTTTCAATTAGGTGAAGGAATTCTAATTTCTTCAGAGGCTACTGAACTTCTGGATTTTATAGATAATCAAGGACAAGTGCATGTGATTCAAAAATACCTGGAGAAGCCTATGCTCCTAGAACCAGGTCATCGCAAATTTGATATTAGGTAATGATTTCTTTTTAAAAAATATTTTGTGTCGGGGGTGCTTTTCGTTAATTTTCTGTCAATTTAGATTTGTTCAAATGCAGTGGATATGTGCATTTGTATTGTGTTTTTTAGTATTATGTAAATATTAATTTTTAATTCACTTTAATTACCACATATTGTCAAATATTTGTTATTAAATCTGATTCTTATGATTTGGAATCGTGATACCTAATTTTTTTTAAAAAAATTATACATTGTAATATGTTATTTTTCTAACTTTTAGAAGTTGGGTCCTAGTGGATCACCAGTATAGTATCTACCTCTACAGAGAAGGTGTTCTACGGACCTCTTCAGAACCTTACAATAGTGCTAATTTCCTGGACAAAACCTGTCATTTGACCAATCACTGCATACAAAAAGAATATTCTAAAAACTATGGGAGATATGAAGAAGGGAATGAAATGTTTTTTGAAGAGTTTAATCAGTACTTGGTGAATACTTTGAACATTACTTTAGAAAATACAATTTTACTGCAAGTCAAAAATATAATAAGGTATGTATTTGTCTTTTATTTTCATCCTAGCCTATCGGCAAGAAGCTTTTTTTGTATAATTATTATTCATATATTATCTGCACTCTAACAACCTGAGACTAGAGGCTAAGAAGCCAAAGACATCAACTGTGGTCCCTGGAGGCTATGTGAAGTCTCCCTGGGAATTTGAATTGTGAATGTGTCAGAAAATGGAGAAAAGGGACAAGAATTTTCCAATCTCTCTCCCTCCCTCTCCTTCCTTCCCTCCCTCTCTCTCTAACACACACACATACACACAGTCTTTCTCTATTAGCAGTGATATTTAATATATATTTGCAGTGATATTTAATGTTTAGCTCCTTTTTTTTGCTGTATGAAAACAATTCTAGTAATACCCAACGATTTCCTCCTGCTTTACAGGTAGTCCTTGACTTATGATCACAACAGAACCCAAAATTTATGTTACTAAGCGAGATAGCCTTAAGTGAGTTTCAACCCATTTTATGACCTTTCCTGCCACAGTTGTTAAGTGAAGCACAGTAGTTGTTAATACCATGGTTATTAAATGACTCTGGCTTCCCCACTGACTTTGCTTGTCAGAAGGTAACAAATGGTGATACATGATCCCGGGACACGGCAACTGTCGTAAATGCATGCCAGTTGCCAATCGTCCAAATTTTGATCATGTAGCCATGGGGGATGCTGCAATGGTTGTACGTGTGAAAAAGGTCATAAGTAACTTTTTTCATTATTGTTAACTTAGAACGGTCACTAAACAAATGGTTGTAAGTCGAGGACCACCTGTAATTAATGTTTCTACCATTTTGTATGTTTATACTATAAGGCAAGTTTAATCAGGCACAGAGTTTCTAGGCGTCTTACTTTATAGCAAGCCTGCTTTCCATAAAAAATCCTTAATGTGTATCATGAGGATGACTTGCATCATGTTAAGCCCATTACCTGCCACGGAATGCTGCTTGCAAACATTTATGCTAAGATGAAAATTTAATACCATTCCTAAAATAAAACTCAGGTTGTTAAAGACACTAGGCTTGTCAGCTGGAAAGTGCTGGGTGCTGTAGATGGGCTAAGCTCCCATTACTTGGCCCAGCTCCTGCCCACTTAGCAGTTTGAAAGCATGTAAATGCAAATAGATAAATAGGTATCACTTCGGTGGAAAAATAACAACATTCTGTGCTCCTCAGCATATAGCCATGTTGGCCACAGGACCACCGAAAGGGTCTTTGGACAATGCTGGCTCCCTCAGCTAAGAAACGGATATGAGCACTGCCTCCTAGAGTTGGATATAACTGGACGGGGAAAACTTTTACCTTTACTTTGATTGAAATTGGCTTACCTTACCTTACCTGTCTGTCTAAAGAAAACCCTCCATTGACCGTTTCATTGTATGTTTTGCTAATTTTGGACAGTGTAGATTTTAGGTATTGAATACAAAATCATTTAAAATCCTACTTATTGGGCTCCAGATATCCTGGACCACAACTTCTACAATTTCCCACCACCTTGACCAGTACAGTTATATGGAGTGAAATCCAAAACGGGATATGGGAAACGGGTCCTGGAAGTTGCCATAGATACTTAACTGTTCACACAAAATGTTGAGTCAAAACTATAAAACTAGATTATGGATTTAATGCAATTCAGTGAGCAAATTCTGCCGTCTAATCCTTCTCAGTGACTTTACTGTTATTTTAAGCAAAGATATTCACTATTGGCATTTCTTTTTAGTACTTTGATTATTCAATTTAAGTATTATAGGTGTTGAACAAAACAATAATTCAGTGATGGGATATTTCATTCTATTCACAGAAACTGCCTTATGTGTATAGAACCTGCTATCAGTACCAAACATCTTCATTATCAGAGTTTCCAGCTCTTTGGTTTTGATTTCATGGTGGATGAGGACTTGAAAGTTTGGCTAATTGAAGTCAACGGGGCTCCTGCATGTGCCCAGTAAGCATCCTTCTAAATGTCCCCTTGAATATGTGAATGGTGTCATAATGTCTTCCTTAGAGTTTACTGTAAACTGTTTTGAACCGATAAGACTTTCCATTTGGATAGGTGGACTATAGATAGCTTTTTTCCCCTTTTCCTCCTTGCTGGGATTCATTTTATTTGATCCAATTTAAATAGTTGCTCTGCTCATCTTTGTTACTCTAGGTGGCTTACAAAATTAAGCAATAGTAACACAATACCCCCAATATAATAGCCATAGAAGCATAAAAAGTTAAAAACAATTTAAAAACCACACGGTACAGTCAATGGGAGATCACAATCTATTCAGGAACAGTACAACCATTTTACTATTGTACTGCTTTGTACCACTGTCTGTTCCCTAGGCCGGAGGGCAAAGCCATATCTTCAGGCCTTTTGGAAGGCCATCATTCAAGGCTGCATTCTTATACAACTGCCAATGTCAAACCATGACAGCCTACTCCTGCCTATCTTGGATATTCTTCTTTCCCTTAAAAATTATTCTTTTTTCTTGCCTGGTGCTCCAAGCAGCCCTGATTGATTGGCTCTAAATCTCTTGCACTGTCCCAAATATTTTTTGTGTTGGGAATGGCTAGCTAGAGGCAAGATCCATCAGCCTGGCTGTTGCCTCTGCTCATTCTAGCTAAGGTGATCAAAAAAGAAGATGGCCAACTGGGAAACCCTCTGCCTGGACAATCCTAAACTATTTCTTCTCACTTCTATGGAACAGCTAAATTGAGGAAATCAGATTAAATAGAATTATGTGGTAAGACAGTAATACTGTAATTTAGGGGATCTACATGTGTTATGCTTTTTTACATTTGCTTTATGCTAGAGAGCTATGAAAAATAGGCAACAGAAGAGTTTTTGCTAAGGAATACATGGGAAAGACCCTAATATACGAAGAGGCCTTTTTTCTATTGGTTCATCTTTCTCTAGAATTGATCTGCAGAGCGACTTCCGGCGGCGACCTCAGCGCATTAGGGACGAAAGGGACGGCGCTCCATTCCTGAGTCTCTAACAATCCCACATCTGGAGCCGAAATAGGCGCTATCGATCTCGGAGGGATTGATAGTTTAAAGGGGACGTCTTAGGACCTCAGAGGAGACCGCAACTCCCTCGAAGGTACAAGACAAGCCCTTAATCCAGAGTGAGGAAAAACTAGCCTTTCGAGACTGGCCGGAGGCGCTGACAACTGCGTGAGTGGGAAGCAAAGATTGAAAAAAGAAAAGAAGTCATCAACAGAGGACTTTAACCTAAAAAAACCCAAAAAGCATTTGATGAAGAAGCAGACGCTGGTGGCAGAGATACCGGGAAAAGACATTAGACAAGCGGCGGCAGAAAGGATCAGGTGGATTGGAGCCATTTTGAATAAATATGACAGCGCAAAAACTTTGAACAGCCGAGAGAAAAGAGAGAGCGACGAGAATTGCGGAGGATTTAACTCCGATATAACCGGATTTTATTGGGGTGGACTGGATCGAGAGGACTAAATTGAGAATAAGAATAAGAACAGATCTTGCGAGATTGAAGGAAATAAAGAGAGAGTGAGGAGAGTGGTGTGCTGGAGACCGGAAGGAAGATTGAAGGAAATAAAGAGAGAGTGAGGAGAGCGGTGTGCCGGAGATCGGAAGGAGGATTCTGGACGGATTTCTATAAACTGATTGCATTGGACTCTATTGGCTTCGGCCGGGCAGATTGGATTAAATTGGAAAGCCGAGTGTGAAATAGACTGAAGGAGAGTGTGGACATTGCATTGACAGAGACGAAACAAACTTTGATATAACGTATTTTGAGCGGACTTTTAGAAGCTACCAATATTTTCACCATTTCCACTGGCACTCTTCTAAAAAACTGGGATATATAACAATCTAACCGTTAAATATTGAACTATTGAACTATTGAACCACTGAAACAACTGGTGAACAAACAGACGATATAGCTATTAATGGTCTGGCTTAATCTTATAATATACTAGAACGCAATAGAATTGAAAAGAATATTTAATAATTTAGTATTTTTTCTTTCTTCTTTTTTCTGTTTGTGACTATATAAGAATAAGTTGATTATAACAATAACAAGTTGATCATTCAAACAACTATAGAGTACTATATGTGTGATAAATATTGATTGAAAGCTAATTAATTTAAACAATTTAATACAGTTATAACAATTAAGATAATTAGCAATATAAATTGACATAGAATTGATTTTACTAATTACTATAAATACTGCTAGTGAAATAGATCTTTTAACTTGCAATTAATTTAAGGATAAGGTAATTTATGAATTGCTAGAAACGTGCCCTTTCCCTGCTGTTTCCCCCATTTCTACCTTCCCTCCCCCTGCTTTTCTCTTTTTTCTATATATATTATTATTATATTGCTGATTGCTGATTAGAAGTATTTCCACTAATATTAATTCCAACAATAACGTTTCATTTAAACCATTAACATAAAATAGGCAATACATAATTATATGAAACTGTGGACAAGACTAATACGTACAATAGACATGGCTACTTCAAGTATATCAACTACCATTAAAACAACCAAAAAGGTACCCCAAACCCAAACACTACTAGTGGCCTCCCCAGTACAGCAAAAGACGGGAGAAGAAAAGACCAATACTATCATAGGCATGCAGAATATACAGGCTGCCCTCGCAATGATACAAGAGGGAATGAAAAGGATGGAAGATAAGATGACGCTAAATCACGATGAAACTAGAAAAAACCATGAACAATTGCGACTGGATGTAGGGGAAATTAAAGATGACATTAGAAACATAGATGAGAAGATAGTGAAAATCCAGCAAAATATCATAGAAAATGAACAGAGAATACATAAAGTGGAGGAAAAAACGGAAGCTACAGCCTCGAGGATGGAGAGGATGGAGAACCAACATGAGGAGGAGCCGAGACACCGAAGATGCACTCACATTTCTTGAAATGGAGAAGGCATCCTTCTTCCTTAGATTCCAAAATATAGAAGAACAGAGAGATGAAGACCTGGGCGAGATTATGATCGAAATACTGGCAAAGGCAACGCACAAAGATAAGGACGAAATTAGAAATGGAATTGATGAAATTTACAGAGCCTTTACAAATTATGCAAGGAGAAACAAACTCCCCAAAGAAGTCCATATTAGGTTTACAAAAAAAACAATGAGAGAAGAAATATATAGAAGAATGAGAGAGGAGACAGTCATATACAAAGGGAGGGAAGTTCTAACATTGAAACAAGTACCGAGAAGAGCCAGAGACAGGAGAAGAGACTACAATTTCTTAAGTAGACAACTGAATAAACTCAAGATAAAATTTAGATGGCTCATACCGGAAGGCCTACTTATTTCATGGGAAGGAAGGAAAATCAGAATAGATACAATAGAAAAAGCTCAAGACTTTATGGACCAATATCTAGGAAATGAAGGAGAACAGGAAAGCAGAGATAGTAGAGAAGAACATAACCCAAGTGACCAAGAGACACAAATGACAAACAAGGAAGACAAAGAACAAAAGAAGGGAAGGTTGGAGAGAGAGGAAACAGCGGGGATCTCACAAAGAGTTACAAGAAACACAACAAAGCTCAAAATAACAGACAAATAAACACTAGCGGAAATGGAAGAAGAAATAAAGCTCATTTCCATAAATATAAATGGTTTAAACTCACCAAGCAAAAGACATCAGATGTTTACAAGGTTGCAAAAATTAGAGGCAGACATAATTACAAGAAGTACACATAAGAAAACAACAGAAAAAACTACTTGAAAATAAAAAATTAGGAGTAATATACACATCTTTAGGAGATTGCAAAAAAAGGGGAGTGGTAATATATATTAGAGATCATATAAGATCTAAACTGATTTACACTGATAAAGAAGGCCGAGTCTTAATGGTAGAACTAAAATTGGAAATAAAAACAATATTGTTAGTAGCTATTTACGCTCCAAATGGAAACCAATTAGATTTTTACAAAAAATTACATGACAAACTAAAGGAGTTGGACTACGAAAATGTATGCATTGTCGGCGACTTTAACGCGATAGTAAACTTACGAGAAGATTACCACAGCACTAGGAAGAATAAAATTAAAAGAAAGACATTGCCACAAACATTCAAAGATTTAGTACAAGAAATGAGCCTACACGACACCTGGCGAGAACTAAATACCAAAACAAAACAATATACATATTTCTCGGGCCCACATCAATCGTGGTCCAGGCTGGATATGGCTTGGATGACACCTCAACTAAGTAAAGAAACACACGAAGTAGAAATTATGTCTAGCATATGGGCCGATCACAATCCTATCAAAATAGTCTGGAAAGGTTTCCGAAAACAGAAGAGATGGAAAATGGACACAAGTATAATAAAGGAAAAACAATATCAGCAAATGATAGAAAAGGAAATCAAGATATTTCTACAAATAAATACAAAAGACACAACATCGTTACAAAACCTATGGGATACCACGAAAGCCTATATTAGAGGCCTAACTATTGCATATGTGGCAAGAAAGAAAAAGGAGAAACAAAGAATTAGAAATGAATTATTGGAAGAAATTAAGACAGAGGAAATTAAATTACAACAACAGCCCAACAACACGATTGTGCTACAAAAGCTAAATTTGGCCAAACATAAACTGAATCTAACCACAAAAACCGAATTGGCACAGAATATAAGAATGGTAAAACAAAATAATTTTGAACATGCTAACAAAACTGGACGCTGGTTAGCATATAAGCTAAAAAAGCAAACAGAAAAAAGAATTATACACCAACTCCAAGACGAATCAGGAACTCTTTACCACACACATCTGGAGAAGAAAAACATAGCCAAAAAATTTTTTCAAAAACTTTATCGCCAGGAAGAGGTTCCGGAAGACCAAATCAAAAAATACCTCCAAAAAACCAATCTCATGCACTTCACAGAAGATCACAGAGAGATGTTAAACCGGCCCATAACAATGCTGGAACTA